AGCGGTGCACAAATCACTGGCACGACAAATGCTTCTACTTGTGTTCTAGTTCTACCAGTAATGTCCCCAACTGCTAAGTTCACTGTCTCACAAGAAGCAGTTAGTTCAGTTTCGCATTCTCCGAATGTTTTTATTCGTAAAGACTCTGTACTTCCTGTGGGCAATTGCAACTTATTTTGCACTCGTTGCGTTAAATAACTTCTCTGGCTGCCCGAATCAAAAATAACTCTTACCTCAGTGGTCAACTTCTTGTTTCCAACGCCAACTTTCGCCTTGGCTGTTTGTAATAAGACTGAATCTTGTAAACATGCGTGATAATTTCTGGTCTCTTTCGTGTTTCCTGTGTCTTTCGTGTCCCTTGATTGTGTTGTTTGTTCTTTAGCCAGACTATCTTGTACATTTCCTAATTGCTGTCTGGAATTTGATTCTTGTCTCGTTGCTAAGGACTGTCTCGAATTTGTTGCTAAGGACTGTCTCGAATTATTATTACACAGACTAACATGATGCTTTCCCGAGCAATATTTGCACATATACCTTGATTCGCAATCCCGAGCAATATGATTTCGTTTGAGACACAAAAAACATCGTCCTTGCTTTCGTAAGATCTGTTTTCTTGCTTCGATATCCGTAACAACAAAACAACTAGCTGACGTATGTTCTTTTTGACAAAACGAACAGTTAATAGTTGTCTTACCCGTCATTTATAGCGCTGCTGCCGTAAATGGCGTGTTCGAATATTTTCTCCCTCCTCGTTGTTCGTTGAAATTTCGACCGTCTCTAAAGGATAAAGCTTGAATTCCTTCGCATCTTTCCCGGTTTTCCAATTCCTCGCGAAAATTCTCAAGTAACGTATTCAAATTCCATGATTCGCCTGTCATTTTGCGACCGAGTAAAATGCGTATTTCGTCGGGTATTTTGCCGATTAAAATCGGTAATAACAACGCCCCGTATTCCGTGTCTGGCACGTCTAACGATTTTAGCCCTCTCACGTGTGCTTCGATTTGATCATAAAGACGCCGTAAACCTTTAGTATCGGTAGATGAACGTAGTTGTGGGAGTTTTAATAAACTATCCATATGGCTACTAATGACAACTTGCTTGTCTCCGAATCTTTGCTGTAATAGTTCAATCGCAGTTTCATAGTTACTCTCTGTCAACGATAAACCCTCGATCGTGGCTGCTGCACTGCTGCAGACTTTTCCAGTAAACTTTTTAAGTAATTGAATTTATCCACGTCGGATAACCCCGGATTCTCATGTATTGCGCACTTAAAACTGTCCCAAAATGCTTGCCATTCGCATGGCTGTCCATCAAATTGTTTTAGAGTAAGTTTTGGCAACTTCGCATGTTTTATTGTCGATTGATAATGTCCTGGTGTAGATAGTTGCTGTGAATCGTTCATACTCATAGACATAGTTTCATTCATCGGTTTGGCCTCGAGCACGCTGTCGATATTTACAATCATTTCGTGAACACTCTCGCGATATTTTCCTGCTTCTTCGATCTCAGTAGATATTTCCTCGTCAGCTTCGATAAGCTCTAGAATCTCTTCGTCAAGGGTCTTTAAAGTGTCCAATCGTTCTTTTAGAGTGATCCTGATTTGCTTTAGTTTCTTTTCTTGATTTCCATCGTAGTTTTGAACAATATCATCGGCATTGCCCAGAATCTTCGTAAGATAAACTCTATGACCCTGTCGTATCTTTATTTTCTTCTTGATATTACTCATTTTATCCTCAATTTAATCCAGCTCTGAAGGACCATGTAATATATTTTAGACTGCTCAATTAGATGTATTATATTCCGTAGTAAGACTTTCTCATAATATCAATTCGAATCTAGACTCTAGTTCATTAGTTCGATTCTTCAATGTAAAAATCCCCAAAACAACAACCTATTGTCTTATAGTCCACGCCCCTATGACGCGTACGTAATGCCCTATTTATAACTGTCTATTAATAAACAATATCTCACAAGTACCGTAAACAGAAGCAGTCACCCCCCTGGACGTTCGCCATTTTTAGTATTTCCAGGGGGGGGACTGCTTCTGTTTACGGTACTTGCTGAGTGACGAATCATGGCGAATAGCGCTTACGCTAAAAACAATGGAGATGGCCTTCTGTGTAGTATTCTGTGGTTTGTACGAAGCAGGTCTGGTTGTTGTTATTGTTATTGTTCTTGTTGCTGCTATTGTTGTTGTTGTTGCTGCTGTTGTTGCTGTTGTTGTTGTTTCTGTTGTGGTGGTTGTTGTTGTCGCTGTTGCTCAGTGTTTTTGTTGTTGTTATTGTTGTTGTTGTTGTTGTTTATATATTTTTCTAGTTAATCTTGCTCTATACATACATACATACATACATACATACATACATAATACTTTATTTTGACACGCTAGCAGGGTTTTTTCAGGGATTTTTTAGGGCCGTAAAACGGCCCCAAAAACTCAATCTTGAATTGAGTTTTGAAACTCAATCTTCTCACCAAAGTTCAGTGCAGTAAAAATGAAGTTGTTTGAGTTAAATTTTGTGATGTGTGGAAATTTGTTTTCAGTTGGAAACCCCACAATCAAGAAAAATGGCTGGAATTCATCTCACAACACAAGAAAAACTACGCGTTCGCCATCTTTAACCAGTTTATAGTGTCTCTTAGGGTTCCTGCTTTAACACTTTGCATCTCAACTACATTTATTGAGGGGGGGGGTGTGTGCAGCCACCCCAACTGTTCAGCTAAACTCAATCTTCTCTGCAAAAACGGACCCAAGAGAAAATCCTGAAAAAAACCCTGGCTAGCCTCATCAACATCAGCTGTTTTTCATGAGGGGCGTGTTAACTAACTAATTACACAAATAATATGTACAAATTAAAGTTACATGAAGCATACAAAGACTAACAGGTATACAAAAATATATAAACGAAACAAATAAATATTATTGAGGACAGGTCAGCCTCACCTTGCCGTAGATTTTATAATTCTCTTGAATGAATAAACGGAATCAGCGCTTTTTGCTTTAATAGACAGATTATTCCAATGGATAGCTCCATTGTATTTAAAAGTTCTTTTAAGAAATTCTTTCTTTGGTTTTGGTAATACTAGATCAGTTTCACGATTCCTACGATCATAAGAGGAATCGCCTTCACTGCGCCATTGTCGAAATAGTTGTTTTAAATTTGGGGCGGCATGGTCACACATCACTGTTGACAACAATTGTCTTGATGTGAAACGAACGCTATCAATTCTAAAAGAAAAAAAAAATGTACTCAAAACAACCAGTTTGTGCGAGTTGGACCTAACGTTAACCTAAGATCCAAAGCAAATTTCCCAACAACTTGTTAATGCATTAGAAAATATATTTCAGTCTTCAGAAATGACTGTGTGGTTCAATAGGAGTTTTCGTTTCTGGAGTTTTGTAATACTGAAATAAACGTATCTCTAGAGATACACAAACTAAAACATCGGGTTTACAGTACTTCTAATTCAGGGTTAACGCTAGTCCAGCCGTTTGAACAACGGGCCCCCAAATCTTGGACATATTTCTTGAGACCATTCCAGCCAATATTGCGTTAATGCGCATTGACAAAACAAATTTTGTCACCCCCTTTCCCCAAGTTAAATGCTGTACACCACGGCGAAACAACTTTTATCGAGTTGGGGAGTTTGTCAAAAGGAATTTATCATAAGGGGGTATGGGAATTTTGCATAGAGAGAAAGGTATAGTCTCAACCGGTTATGTCCAAGATTGCCAGGGGGGGGAGGTGAAAAGGGGTATACAAATACGCCGATCCGCCCAATTTTGAAGCAAAATCCGCCGATCTGACAATGGTCTTGTCTAGATTTGGATCCGCTAAAAGCTCTACTATGAAGTCACAATCCAGGATCCGAACTAAATTGCAAGCAAAATCCACAATCCGAGCCAAAATATTAGATAAATCCGAAATTCGCTGTATTAATAAGATCCGCAAATCCGTGTAAAATATTCGCCAGATCCGAAATCCGAACAATTTTTTCGGCGGAATCCGACGATCCGAAAACCTATTCACCCCACCCCACCCCCCTTTAATGTAATTATTGCTGATGTTACTTGCTGATGTTTAATTTATTGCCGGTGTTTTATAGTATTGCTGATGTTATTTTCATCTTGATGACATTTTAAAATTTCAAAACGTGTTCTTCGGTTGATACATACTTTGGGGATTATACCGTGTGTCCCAAAAAAAAACTTGCGCTGTTTGATTTCATGTAAGGTATAAACTATAAAAGCTATTACACTCAAATAAGTTTTATTGTATTGAGGAAAGGCTAACTTAGATTTTGATATACAGCCCTAAAATGGTCATGTAATATTACGTAAGATACAAATGTTTGAATTTGGCGCACGCTTCAAAAATGAGTAAAAAATCGAGAAACACAGCTGATCAAATTCAGTAGGCTATATGAAAACAATTGCCATTTTCCACAAAACGTAACACTTTAGTCAATTTTAGCATTTCAACTCAACTTTAATTTCAGGTAATGTCCTAGTATAATTTAGCCTTTCGTGTTTCTTGGGAAGCGAAATATAAGCATGAAACATTAAAAATCGTTCGCCTAGCATATTTGACGTCCTTTGGGAGTTTGTATTATAACGTTGGTCTTCGTTCGCCTTTCGAATATGTCTCAGTCGATTACAAAAGATCAGAGAGTTTCCTGTGAAATGTTTTTTTCCAACCTCGGAATTTTGAAAAAAATTTCATTTTTTTTTTCCAACCTCGGAATTTTGAAAAAATTTTCATTGAAAACCTCAAAAAAAAAATGAAAATTTTTTCAAAATTCCGAGGTTGGGAAACAAAAATGAAAATTTTTCAAAATTCCGAGGTTGGAAAAAAAAAATGAAAATTTTTTCAAAATTCCGAGGTTGGAAAAAAAAAATGAAAATTTTTTCAAAATTCCGAGGTTGGAAAACAAAAATGAAAATTTTTCAAAATTCCGAGGTTAGAAAAAAAAAATGAATATTTTTTCAAAATTCCGAGGTTGGAAAAAAAAAATGAAAATTTTTTCAAAATTCCGAGGTTGGAAAAAAAAAAATGAAAATTTTTTCAAAATTCCGAGGTTGGAAAAATAAAATTAAATTTTTTTCAAAATTCCGAGGTTGGAAAAAAAAATGAATGAAAAAATGGTTTCCTGTGCTCGACCGTGCAAGAGGACATACTTTCTATGATGAACGAATAAATGTTTATCCAACAATTATTTTCATTCGTTCTTTTGGCGACAATAAAAGTATATATCAAGTTTAACTTTCCAAATAATATTTGATAGGCGATTTTATGCAAATTTTTAACATTGTCAAATATGATAACTCAGTAAATGTTGCACGGACATTCACATGTTATATATCAAAATCTAAGTCAGCCCTTTCTGAATACAATGAAACCTATTTGAGTGTAATAGCCTTTATAGTTTTTACGTTACATTAAATCAAATAGCGCACGTTTTTTTTGGGACACCCGGTACATCCCATGCGAATCCTTTCTTTTCTTCTTCCAATATTTTACCTGTTTAGATTCTATACTTTAAATCTGTTTCTATTCTGATGTATGATGCACATATCAAAACTGCGAGTCTTCTATGAAGACAAACGTTAAGTCGTTACGAAAATATTTCGTGCACTTAAATTGGATAAGACTCGCTACCACTGAATCCCCGTTGATTCGATAGCTCAATGGGTGGACCGGCGGTCTAGATACCCGAAGATGCGAGTTCATATTCGGCCCGAGCCAACGAATTTTTCGTTGGTCAATTGCAGTGCCAGAATAATATGAAACTAGTTTTTCGTTTTTCTGAGGATGGTTTTGAAATAAAACATATATCAAATTTCCTTACTTATACTCATGACATACATGACTATAATACCACTAGATTTTCTTCCAACGGTAAATAAACTGAATAACAGATCCTTTTCCAGAAGAATATGGAACAGTATTCCACGTGACTTACGTAATTTTTCAAAGAATAAGTTTAAGAAAACATTACAAAAAGTGTTCGAGAAGGATTATACTGACATCGCAACGTTAACAAAAAATTGAAAAATATAACAATTAAGGATAAATTCAGCTAAATTCTTTTAATATTATTGTACATGAACTTGTGGTAAGAGGTCGATAACTGTCTCTCTCTAGCTCAGTTGGTTAGAGCTTGTCCTTGACAACTGTCCGGCTCTCTGTGGCTCAGTTGGTTAGAGCTGGACAACTGTCTCTCTGTAGCTCAGTTGGTTAGAGCTCGACAACTGTCTCTCTGTAGCTCAGTTGGTTAGAGCTTGTCCTTGACAACTGTCCGGCTCTCTGTGGCTCAGTTGGTTAGAGCTGGACAACTGTCTCTCTGTAGCTCAGTTGGTTAGAGTTCGACAACTGTCTCTCTGTAGCTCAGTTGGTTAGAGCTTGTCCTTGACAACTGTTCGGCTCTCTGTAGCTCAGTTGGTTAGAGCTTGACAACTGTCTCTCTGTAGCTCAGTTGGTTAGAGCTTGACAACTGTCTCTCTGTAGCTCAGTTGGTTAGAGTTTGACAACTGTCTCTCTGTAGCTCAGCTGGTTAGAGCTGGACAACTGTCTCTCTGTAGCTCAGTTGGTTAGAGCTGGACAACTGTCTCTCTGTAGCTCAGTTGGTTAGAGCTTGACAACTGTTTCTCTGTAGCTCAGTTGGTTAGAGCTTGACAACTGTCTCTCTGTAGCTCAGTTGGTTAGAGTTTGACAACTGTTTCTCTGTAGCTCAGCTGGTTAGAGCTTGACAACTGTCTCTCTGTAACTCAGTTGGTTAGAACTTGACAACTGTCTCTCTGTAGCTCAGTTGGTTAGAGTTTGACAACTGTCTCTCTGTAGCTCAGTTGGTTAGAACTTGACAACTGTCTCTCTGTAGCTCAGTTGGTTAGAGTTTGACAACTGTCTCTCTGTAGCTCAGCTGGTTAGAGCTTGACAACTGTCTCTCTGTAGCTCAGTTGGTTAGAGTTTGACAACTGTCTCTCTGTAACTCAGTTGGTTAGAACTTGACAACTGTCTCTCTGTAGCTCAGCTGGTTAGAGCTGGACAACTGTCTCTCTGTAGCTCAGTTGGTTAGAGCTTGACAACTGTCTCTCTGTAGCTCAGTTGGTTAGAGTTTGACAACTGTCTCTCTGTAGCTCAGTTGGTTAGAGTTTGACAACTGTCTCTCTGTAGCTCAGTTGGTTAGAGCTTGACAACTGTCTCTCTGTAGCTCAGTTGGTTAGAGTTTGACAACTGTCTCTCTGTAGCTCAGTTGGTTAGAGTTTGACAACTGTCTCTCTGTAGCTCAGTTGGTTAGAGCTTGACAACTGTCTCTCTGTAGCTCAGTTGGTTAGAGTTTGACAACTGTCTCTCTGTAGCTCAGTTGGTTAGAACTTGACAACTGTCTCTCTGTAGCTCAGCTGGTTAGAGCTGGACAACTGTCTCTCTGTAGCTCAGTTGGTTAGAGCTGGACAACTGTCTCTCTGTAGCTCAGTTGGTTAGAGCTTGACAACTGTCTCTCTGTAGCTCAGTTGGTTAGAGCTTGACAACTGTCTCTCTGTAGCTCAGTTGGTTAGAGTTTGACAACTGTCTCTCTGTAGCTCAGTTGGTTAGAGCTTGACAACTGTCTCTCTGTAGCTCAGTTGGTTAGAGCTGGACAACTGTCTCTCTGTAGCTCAGTTGGTTAGAGCTCGACAACTGTCTCTCTGTAGCTCAGTTGGTTAGAGCTCGACGTGTAAAAACGCACAGCTTGTAACAAGTCTGCAAACAAGTTGTTACAAGTCTGTTCACAAACTGTCGACAAGTTGTGTTCGCACTGCTTGTTCCCAGTTGTTGTAACAAGTTTGGAACAAGCTGTTAACAACTTGTAACAAGCTTGATGGCATTATCAGCCTTGTTACAAGACTGTGCTAACAAGTTTGTTACAGCTGTGATAAAACAAGGATGTTACAAGGTTGTCAACACAAGGTTGTAACAATCTTGTTATATCAAGCATGTAACGGACTTGTCAGAACAACCTTGCAACAGGTCTGATAATTTTGACAAGGTTGTTACAAGTTGGCAACAAGTTATTCCAAACCTGTTGACAACTTGTGACAAGCAGTGCGAATACATCTTGTTGACGGCTTGTTGGCAGACTTGTTACAAGATGTGATATTTTTGTGTGTGTATCTGATAAAACTCATCTTCGTTAGTATTCTTTATATAAAGAATACTAATGAGACGGCATCTATTGTAGTCGTGTTTGAAGCTAATCAACTGAAACACTTGTAGTCGTGTTTTATCATCTCTAAAATGTTCGTGCTGGGCACTCGCATTTTAAATATCAATGATAAAACACTCCTACGCGTGTTTTACTTCATACACTTAGACGGTAAATACGACCTCTTTTAAGGTGGCTCCCTACAGTTGACTCTATTTGCCCAAAATCTGTGCAGTTCGGGCCTATTATCAGGGTGTCCCAAAAACCCCGAAAACTATTGAAATCACCAATAGCAATTTAATTGTTAGAATTTGAATGCCTTAGCACTCTGTTGGTTCCCACGAGGGCATAAATGATTGACACAAGTAAATTTTATGCATAAAGAAACTATTTAAGAAGCTGCTTTAAATTCCCAAGAGCAGAAAATCACACACTTTACAATAAGATGAAAACTAAATTTTAATACATGCGCCTTTTCAATTTTACGCATCATTACGTTCAGCTTTTTGGTATGGCATTCAATTTTAACAAGTGATTTCAATAGTTTTCGGGTTTTTTGGGACACCCTGTATATTATACATCGTGCATTCTTTTCTATTTGGTAGGAATATCTAACACCAGTGGAATATTTAAAACACGGTTTTGACAGTGTCGCTCGACTTGCTATGGCAACATGGCGAAGGTTTAAAACCAGCTTATTTTAGCCACAAAATTGTCTTTATCTGAAAAATGAAGTCGGTGTGACCTATCTTTTTTATTTCATATCAATAGAGCATATGTACCCTGGTTCCACCACAGGGGGTCCAACTAAGAGCTGTGTTATGAGTATGAATAAAACATTAATAAATCGTAATATGAATAAAACATCATAACGTAATATATTTAAATTATTGCACTTACTTGTATAAATCATAAGAGCTTGTATTTCCAGTGAATAGCTTTAAACAGGGCGCTTAATATGTTCAGAAATATTGCTTCGAAAGATTGTTCAAATATGGCGAATAAATTGACAAAACGAAAATATTACATGACGTTCCATCGAAAATAACAGCAGAGATTGCGGGCGCGCGAGCGAAAAGGCGAGGGAAGAAATCATAGGAAGAAATAAATAGAAGGGATGAAACAAATATCACGTGACTTTTTAAAATGCTTCTAGACTATCCGTTTAAGCTTTTTGTGGGGGTTTTAAGGCTCAGTCGATGTTCTCTTACGTGAACAAGCCTAGTCATTACCAAAAAAGCACTGATCAATCTAATTTATGTGATTTATAACAGCGAGCATTCTTGGCCATTATCGCGAGATGTGTTCCATAAGTAGCCTGTTCTCGTGACGTATGACGAAATAATAATACAACTAAATAATGTAAAAAAAAACGTTGGTCGCTACATTTAAACATTTCATATTAGCCGGTATAGCTAAACATTGTTTATTTTCATTAATTAAGCGCTTAGGCGTTGTTGGAGTTGGCAGGAGGCGTTTTGGAATTTTCCGAGAGAACAGGCTACTTATGGATGACGAGCCAGACAGCTCCAGATTGGCAGCTCCAGATTGGCGAATCTGGAGCCAGCTCCAGATACAATTTCAATATGGAGCTGGAACGAATAGTTTGTAAACAAACTGCTTTGGCCGCGTAACTACCGATGGATATTTAATTTTTTTGAAAGACCATTTTTCCTTGTCATATTCCTTAGTACGTGATGGAAAATGAAAACATTATTCCGTTCCGTTCGTCCATGGTAGCTTCTGAAAGATCACTGTTTTTTCTGACAAAGGGAATGGTCAGCGGTCCGATAGATCGCAAAGCTAGTTTAAAACCTTATTTTGTTACCTTTATAATGAAAAACTTAAAAATTTGATCGATGACCATTCTGGAGAATGTATTCAAAAGTAATTTCATGCGGTCAACTTATTTCCACGTCGCGAAACCGCGATAAATAACTCGCGCAAAGTTGACTGTCTAATTTCGCGCACGGCCCGGCTGTTTTAAATTTATCCTTCCGTAAATACAACAACTTTGGTATCCGTAAATTTACGCTTTAGATGAATAAGAAATTGATATGTTGATGACATAATATCATTGGTTGCGCTTTTCTGAAGAACTAACGATATAAACATGTTTAATATCCGAAACACACAACGCAAACGAGATCGCTAAAAACGGTGTTATTATGCGGCTCAAGTCGTCGAAGGCCATAACATGTCAAATACGTCTAGCATCGTCTAAATTGCTTCGCAAATTTCTTGCTAATTTCGCCCTGCCACGAATTTGTAAAAGATGACCCTTCTAGAGTAATATTCATACTATCATATTGTACAGCATTTGAAACTTTAGGATGCATATCCACCATGAGCAACTCGTGAAAACACCAGCATTCGCTACCGAGATGAGAAATCAACTTTCAAGAGATGTGAAATATTACACCTAAACAATATTCCGTGTTATTTGGCACGTGCAAGACATTTAATAATCTCAGGGGAAAACCGTATTAACTATAATGTATATATACGCTGTATTCTTGTTTCAACACATAAGCTAAAAACATCGTTTTTGCCCGTATAAGTTAATTAATAGGAGGGGTGTGTTTTAAGCATTCCTTATTAACATAATCACCGCAATCGCAAATTCAAACCTACGTATGCTTTAAAAATCTTTTATCTTTGTGAAAAAGCGTCGTGTTTTCCCATGTATTGAAAAAATACAGCGCATACCTAAACAAGGAAAATTGCCTTGTTCCTATTCCTCGGCACTCTTAATTGCATTTGCATTGCATTTGCATGCCGACATTATAGTTATTAATACGGTTTTCCTCTGAGATTATCAAATGTCCGGCACGTGCCAGCTGATGACGTGTTTTATTGTTTACGTTTAATATTTCACATCTCTTGAAAGTTGATTTCTCATCTCGGTAACAAATGCTAGTGTTTTCATGAGTTGCTCATGGTGGATATATATCCTAAAGTTTCAAATGCTGTAAAATATGATAGTATGAATATTACTCTAGAAGGGTCATCTTTTAGAAATTCGTGGCAGGGCGAAATTAGCAAGAAATTTGCGAAGCAATTTAGACGATTCTAGACGTATTTGACATGTTATGGCCTTTCGACGACTTGAGCCGCATAATAACACCATTTTTAGCGATCTCGTTTGCGTTGTGTGTTTCGGATATTAAACATGTTTATATCGTTAGTTCTTCAGAAAAGCGCAACCAATGATATTATGTCATCAACATATCAATTTCTTATTCATCTAAAGCGTAAATTTACGGATACCAAAGTTGTTGTATTTACGGAAGGATAAATTTAAAACAGCCGGGCCGTGCGCGAAATTAGACAGTCAACTTTGCGCGAGTTATTTATCGCGGTTTCGCGACGTGGAAATAAGTTGACCGCATGAAATTACTTTTGAATACATTCTCCAGAATGGTCATCGATCAAATTTTTAAGTTTTTCATTATAAAGGTAACAAAATAAGGTTTTAAACGAGCTATGCGATCTATCCGACCGCTGACCACTCCCTTTATCAGAAAAAACAGTGATCTTTCAGAAGCTACCATGGACGAACGGAACGGAATAATGTTTTCATTTTCCATCACGTACTAAGGAATATGACAAGAAAAAATGGTCTTTCAAAAAAATTGAATATCCATCGGTAGTTAAGCGGCCAAAGCAGTTTGTTTACAAACTGGTCGTTCCAGCTCCATATTGAAATTGTATCTGGAGCTGGCTCCAGATTCGCCAATCTGGAGCTGCCAATCTGGAGCTGTCTGGTTCGTCATCCACAAGGGCGTCATGCGTACATACTTCAACAGTTATTATGCCTTTAATCGTTCATGGTTGAATTTGGATCAGAGCTAAAGCACGCGACGTTTTTTTAACACGGGCGTCAGTGCATTAGTCATTACGTCTTTATTTATGACGTTCTAGTATATGCATTATGTTAAAAAATTGGAATAACTTGCTATCTTTCTACAAAAACTATCGAAACATGGCGATACCTAGTTTAACTTTAAACTAAACTGACTTTTATTTATACCGGATAGCTCTATCAGTTCTAAACTGTTCTCCCTAGAGGTCCAGTAAGGGTTGTCCAGTGTTAGTTGATCCAGTGTTACTACAGGAGGAAACCTAAACTAAACTAACTTTATTTATACTGGATAGCTCCATCAGTTCCAGACTTACAGAGGTCCACTAAGGATTGTCTCTTATTGCTTTGGTGTTACATGCCATTTTCGTTCTCAGATTTTCCAGAACTTCTCGACTTACTTCGCTTAGTATAGTTGAGAAGCCCTGAGAACTAAGACAGACTACTGCATAGTCATAAGTCAGGCAGCTGAGAAGCCCTGGGAATAGGATGATGCTTAGTCAGCCACGCAGAAGCCCTGGGTACGGGGTTGAGTCCGCCACCGACTCGAGTCTCTTAGTCTTCCACGCCATATCTTCGTTACCATAGAGACCACGTCATATCAACAATCCCGGAAGCACATGTTCGACTCTATATCGTTAATTATTTATAGACGTACATTATGTTTTAATCATGTTTCATCGCTGTCTACACAAAATATTGAGTCCATTTTCATATTCCTTTTAAAAACCCTAGGACACCTTTTCTGACACTCTGCAGGACATGAAACGGACGACATGCCAAACAGTCGAACAACTTAATTGAGGGAAAGTTCGACGCGAAATATTTTATTCTAAAACAAAACACAGCGTATGCTTGTACTTCGGCGCTAACAGGTGACCACAGCAAAACCGTAAGTAAATTTGCAAATTTTAGTTTTTCCCCTATAGTAGTACATATAGGTAATTATTTATAATTCCCTGTACTTCTTTATGAGTTTTCTACATACGTTGAACGGAGTAAATTTCTCCGTGTGTACCTGCTTTTCGTTTTAACATATGGACTTGTATGACTTGTGTTACAATCGTACATTTCGTTTCACTATAGACATTTTATATGCAGTAGTGTTCTGTAGTTATAGACATTACCGGCAAATCAATAGCTCCTTTCGACACGAAAGCAATACCTGTTTCCGACTAAATCAAAGATGCCAAAATTCAAATTATGGTATAACCGTATCAGGAAAAAGTACGAATCATAATATCCGTGTTTTATCGACATGCGTTGCCGGGCACTAGAATTATATCAATGGTACAAATATCGCAACACAGATGTTCAAGAAGCGTGTACATTTCATTTTTTTCGTTGACGGAATCTTGAATTATTCGGGGAAAAGTGTAGATATATTCATACGAATCTTACGAAGAAAAAAATTAGCCTATCCTATTCCGTTTTAAAGACACGAAAAAAATACTTTTATGGGCTAGTTTACACTACATCAAAGTTTCTGTGATCACAGTAGGAATTTTGCATAGCTAAGTTCGAAGTTTTGAAGGATTCGTAAGAAATGTTTGAGGAAACTGAGTCAGTGTTCAACAGTCGGAGCCTGTTCCCTCAAACATTTCTCGCAAATCCAGTCAAAACCTCTTACTGTGATCACAGAAACTTTGACAGTGTAAATATAAGCCTTAAATTTTAGTGTTTTGAAGCAAAATCTAAAAATGTACTCAATTTAAGTTTTGATAGCCGTCAATAATTTCACTATAAGATTGACAGGGATGCAAGGACCAGAAATATATAAGGAGAACTTCTAACTGCCCGACCGGAAGGGCCTTCGCTCGAAACGGCCTATCGATCCGACTTTTTCCTATATACACTCACACAGTATATTGTCTATATATTTGATGGAAAAGATATAGATTCCTATTCGTGTCATCATTTTGTTCGGGCATATACCAATATAATTTGACACTATGTGATAATGGAGAAGTGTATTCTTTTTGTTTTTAAGCGCGAGTGTCTTGCCATACTACTTTAGTCTTTCTATACTACTTTAGTCTTGCTATACTACTTTAGTCTTGCTATACTACTATACTGTTTTTATAGTTATTGCATTCCCATCGAGTAACGGTAGTTGAAGATTACCGCGGTTTGTCACGCTGCACGCGGAAACTTAACAGTTACAAAAATTGTATTCATATTTATTAATATTTGCAGTCTGTCTGTGATCTATGTCCACAAACGTAAACACAATAGCTTGCTTATATTGCTTAAAATTAGCTTTTTGTTTATCCCCAGGCTGCTATTAACGCAAATTAATTTTCTTTAAAGCTTATATTTTCGAAACAACATACGGAGAATCGTAGACAAAAGTGACCTATAATTTTCACGGATATTGCAAAAGAGTTCTTAAAAGTTTTTTAATAGCTTCTTTTCAAAAGTGATCTATAGTTTAGTGTAAATTGAATACGGACCCCCTCAACAGGCAATATGGCTGCTAAGATTGCGATCCTATATATAGTGCTTTTAGTCATATTGCAAACAAACTTGAGAGATCATTTTCTAGTAATTGAAAATAACAGCAGGGGACATCGGTTAAAATACTATTGCGATTCGATATCCTTCGCCGTGGAAAACACCGTTATTTTGCAGTTTTCAAAAGATGCTTCAATTAAAATGGCTGGCTGTGTACCGTAATATACAGTTCACAGTAAAATAAACACTGTTCGCGTATTTACTCTGCTATTTTCACATAAATTACGGGCACTGCAGATAGTAGATAAGCTCCTTAAATTTAACGAAATTTAGGATACGCACTTCATTAGACTTTAACAAACTAATTTTTTAAAATTTTAATTTCGGTTTAGCTTTTCTTAAATCGTGCGTTAGGTTTGTTCTAAATTTTTAATTTTCACGTTCAAAATTATGTTTGTTTTGCGATGTGCTTGGACTTTTCGTACAAAGTAAAAACTGGAGCTATCAACGCGCAGGTCGTGGACTCTGCTCTGGAATTTTATTTTTCAGTGCACGCATCGATGATTACAACTTCATTGTATAGTTTATTGAAACCACTGACCACAGGTTTCTTCACGAACTAACACTGGATTAATAAGAGATGATCCTTACTGGACCTCTAGGAAGAACAATTTAGAACTGATAGAGCTATCCAGTATAAACAAAGATAGTTTAGTTTAGGTTTCTTCCTGTAGTAACACTGGATCAATAAGAGATGATCCTTACTGGACCTCTAGGAAAAACAATTTAAAACTGATAAAGCTATCCAGTATAAATAAAGTTAGTTTAGTTTAGGTTTCCTCCACTGGATCAATAAGAGATGATCATAATTACTGTTCCTCTAGGGAGAACAATTTAGAACTGATAGAGCTATCCAGTATAAATAAAGTTAGTTTAGTTTAGGTTTCCTGCTGTAGTTGCGCTGGATCAATAAGAGATGATCATAATTACTGTTCCTCTAGGGAGAACAGTTTAGAACTGATAGAGCTATCTAGTATAAATAAAGTTAGTTTAGTTTAGGTTTTCTCCTGTATCCTGTAGTAGTACTGGATAAATAAAGGATAATCCTTACTGGACCTCTAGGGAGAACAGTTTAGAACTGATAGAGCTTTCCACTGTAGATAAAGTTAAAAAGTATCTGAGTCCAGAGCAAGTACAGGTTTTCCAATGTCTTGGGCACCTGCTTTCGCACCTGTCAAGTAATACGAATTACGGTCCGTTAATTTAAAGATAAGGATTTGCATAATATATTGCTTATATCAGTTTTGGTTTTTGTTCAATATATTGCTTGTTTCAACAACTGTTTAAAATTCATAGACATAGTTTTTTTAAGATAACTTTTAAAAGTTGCTACCGTACAGAATTACGACGCTCCGGATATCTGGCGATTGTTTTGTTGTACTTCATGTTACTCCAACATCGCCATAAACATATATAGTATTCTTCAATACGTTTCCATGGTTTGTGTTTAAACTACCTGAAAAAGTTAAAAACGCTTCGATGTTTTGGACGAGGAAGTCTCGGGGTTAGTTTATAAGTTCTATACTTGCTAGTCCACTAACTTACTGTCTGGTTTTGACTCAATATATGTTTTTCAGTTCAGGTAGTTCAGACACAAACCACGACAGCTTATTGTAGAATACTACCTACACTGGAACACCACGTTTGAGATATCTTTTCAGGCAGTTCAGAATCGTTCCGGTTATTAACCGGTCCCGCCCGGCTTCATATGAAATGCCCCTAAGTTAATTCGCTATAAAACTACCTGTAATATTTGAGTCTAATTGATTTTATAATTCCTTTATCTCTGACAGGTAATGGACATGATTTTTGCATATCTGAAATTTCCTAATGGAATAAAGCGTTGGATGTAAGTCAACCTCCAGGCATGTTTGGAAAGTTCGTTGTAAACTCCGGACAAGAAAATGAAGAAAAAACAGAAAAAGACTTGAAAAAAGTTTCAGATGGGGACTTTGAAGAGAAATCTTGTTTCTTCTTAAAACGAACATTCTTCGTGAGAAAATGGTTTATCCATCTTGTCCATTGGCCATATCCTTTGAAATACAGTAGAAAATACTCTGGGGGAACCCGGTTTGCTGCACACTGCCTTCCTAAGGGATGACCCTTACTGGACTTCTAGGGAGAGCAGTGTGTAACTATAGTAGAACTATCCTGTATAAATAAAATTAGTTTAGTTTAAGTTTCGTTCTATGGACGAATAAACGTTGGCCGCCACTGGTTCTCTAGGGAGAACAGTCTAGAACTGCTAAAGCTATTCTACATGAATAAAGTTCGTTTACGTTTCCTTCTGAAATAAGACCAGACAAATAAGGAATGGCTCTTACTGGACCTATAGGAAGAACAGTTTGGAAGTGGTAGATATATTCAGTATACATAAAATTGGTTAAATTATTTCAGCGTTAAATCAGTAAACCGAAAACTGTTCCTGTAGCAGTGTTTCCAATGTTTTTCTCCCGTGAACAGATTCCATTCTTTTCCACCCATTCTGGGATCCCCTAATTATTTTCCTTGACTATCTAAACATGGTTCGAACGGCTAAGTATGTTGGTGATTCTCGTCAACTGCGTGTGCTTAGCCTTGGCAGACCCTCTAGACCATGACTGTGAAGAAACGGAATGTCAATTTCTGACGAAAATCAACTCTTTTGTCCTTTATTTCTTCGTCGCTGAGATGGTCATCAAGATGATTGCCATGGGCGTCGTTGGGAAGAAAAGTTATTTTTCGGAGGGATGGAATAGACTTGATTTTCTTATTGTTGCCGCTGGGTAAGTGTGGGTTGTGAGCACATACGCCTGTATTTTAAAAGATCACTCAGGCTTACACTCAAAGAGTGGAGGTTCAATTTGAGCTTCCCTTGAGTGTCAGTGCTGTTTTTGAATAGCTGGAGGATGAGTAGTCTCATAGTGAGGTACGAGACTGACACCCGCATTCTAAAAGCTCACTCACACTCAAAGAGCGAAGGTTCAATCTGAGCTTCCCTTGAGTGTCAGTGCTGTTTTTGAATAGCTGGAGGGTTAGTGTCGGACCTCAAAGGAGAACAGTTTAGAACTGATAAACTGATCCTGTATAAATAAAGTAAGGCCAAATAAAAAAAATACTTGGTTAGCGTCACCGCCCGCCTCTCGATTTCTGCCGCCTCTGAATTTTTTAAAATTTTTTCTAATGTAAATCTCTTTGTTTTACAGCTTAAAACAGTTTAATATTTGAAATTTTTCTCAAGCTCAGACCTTCGCGCTATATACTGATCGATAGGAGCGCGTGGTCTTGAGTATACAAGGTTTTTATAGCAAAATGGCGGCCTTCGCAACATCAGTACAAAAAATTTCACCGATATGGTGGAAAAACCGCCCCCATCCCCCCCAAAAATACTATTAAAAAATTAAAAAACGTGTAAAAATTTTAAAAAAAAAGGCGCCCGCCCGCCTCTGAAAATTTGTGAGAGTGTGACGCTAACCAAGTATTTTTTTGTTTGGCCTTAGTTACAGTTTATACTTAATCTTTGCCCATTCCAAATGTCAAATATTCGTGTAATGCCTTTTTCTCTCTTCTAGAATTGTGGACGAGTTTTCTGATCTGGGCGGAGCGTTTTTGGTCATGATCCGATTAGTTCGTGTTCTTCGTCCGCTGAGAGCGATCAATCGTGTTCCAAGTAAGTTCAATTTACAAATTTATTTATTCTCGGATAGCTCTTTCAGTACTAAACTGTTTTCCCTAGAGGTGCAGTAAGAGCCATTCAAAACTGGCTCAGTGTTAGTACAGGACGAAAGCAGAGTACCCAGAGAAAATCTGCAGTACTGGAAACGACTGAGATGAAAGTACAACCAGACAACTTCATTATTCCAGGAATATCATAGCGGTAAAAAGAATGGATATACATTTCAAACGAAGTATATGGACATTTTCTAATTATTTTCCTATATTTAGGTATTCGAATATTGGTAACTTTACTTCTGGAAGCATTACCGCTGTTGGGCAATGTGTTCGCTCTCGCTTTTCTCGTCTTGTTCATCTTCTCCATCATTGGCGTTCAGCTATGGCAAGGTGTTCTACGAAATAGATGTTTTGTTAATTCAACATTGCTCGACAACACGACATTCATGTAAGAGAATAACTCGTATTATATTTACAATCAGTGAAAAAAAAAATTATAAGTGTTTTAATATGGGATGGCCCTTACTGAACCTCTAGAGAGAAAAGTTTAGAATTGATGAAGATATCCAATATAAATAAAGTTAGTACAGGATAGGTGTAGGATTCTGTCTGATTCAGTGTGATAATCTGTTGAAAAAGGACCTCAAGTATAAAGTTAGATTAGTTTAGGTTCATTCTTTAGTGATACTGTACCAATATGGGACGACCATTACTGAAGAACCCGAGCCAAAGGCAAAAGGTTGTATGTCTGATACAACACGAACGCGAAAGCTGTACATAGTTTGTGAAGATTTTCAACAGTTGTGTTTTAAGAAATTATTAAAAAAGAAGTGATTTTAATTGATAAAGTAGAGGAAAACTGTTATGCAAATCAGGAGAATTTTGTATATACAGAGGCACCATCTCATTAAACATTTACATCTTTTGAATTTTTTTCCTGAATTATTAACGAGTTTACAATAACCAGTTAAACCTTTTTACCTGACAGAGGTACCAAACCAACAAGCTGTTACTATCAACCATCTATCGAAGAACCAGATTTCCTGTGTTCACTAGCATCAGACTCTGGAACAAAACGTTGCAGCGATATCAAGCGAGACAGCCGGCCTAATTGCACTCTGGCAAATCATACTGCAATTACCAATTACTGTGAGTTTGACAGATTTGGACCGTTCAGTAATAAGGACTACCAATGCTTACAAGATGGACCTAACCCTTTCCATACTACGGTATCTTTTGACAACATCGGAGCTGCCTGGATAGTTATTTTTCAGGTAAGAATTTTGAACAGTTTGTGCCAGTGTTGGGAATGCCGATAATACGAAAGATTTGGGTTGACTACAGTTTGTTTTTTCAACAGATTATCACACTGGAAGGGTGGTCCGACATAATGTATCTTATACAAGAAGCTCATGATTATTGGAATTGGATTTACTTCGTAATTTTAATCCTGGTAAGTTTGAATCATATACCGGCCAAAAATTGGACACTGTTTGAGTTCATGTAATATAAAAGCTATAAAAGCTATCGCAATGAAATAAAGATCAATGCATACAGAAAGGACTAACGTAGATTTTGATATATAACACTTGAATTTGCATGCAATATTGAGCGAGATACAACCAAAATAAAAATATTTATTATTTACAAGTATAACTATATCTGTAATTATAAGGTTGTTTTATGCTAATTTTTGGCATTTTCAAAAAAAGTAGCTCAACGTTCAAACATCAATAGCGCAGTCAATATTCATGTAAATTCAAGTGCTATATATCAAAATCTAAGTTAGTCCTTTCTGAACGCAATGATCTTTATTGCATTGCGATAGCTTTTATAATTTTTACGTTACATGAAATCAAACAGTGTTCAGTTTTGTTTGGGACATCCGGTAGATAGTAAGTATAGTCCAGTTTGTATGTATATTTTGAACGAAACTTTCTATCTCAATAGCTTGGCCCTTTCTTTTTGATCAACTTGTGTCTGGTTGTGCTCGCCATGCAGTTTCAAGAAACCAAAAGTCGCGAACTGCAATTGCTCGAGGAAGATCGCCAGCGGAAACTGGAAGCACAGAACGTATTCAAGCAGACAAAATGGGGGAAAGTATTGACTGTTGTGAAGTCAAACCTTAGCGAGTCGCTACACAAACGATCTGATCAACAACACGTCCATCATCATCATCATTTCCATCATTACTACCATCATGAACATGTAGTACAATCCCCCCGGCAAAATCCGGGGGAGGACAGCCCTCGGAATCCTACTCTCGTTGTCTCCCACCATAGTTCAGTCAGTCATACGCCACCAGTGATCCATGATCAATCCGGGGCTGACCCTCCCAAGAACCCCACCGTCCGGATCTCCCACCAAAGTTCAGTCTCAAAATCCCCACCCACTGTGACCAGCGCTTTGTCCCAAGAACCCAATGACTCGATTATATCTTTAGAAATGACCTCAAACTGTAAGATTTCTCAGAATTTTTTGTCTCCCACCTCCCCGTACTCTGGCAGGCTCTCCCCCACTTGGTCGGTGGAGTCTTCGGAACAAGTATGTTTCTCGCCAGACGCTGATTCCTTATGTTCCGTTGAAGATCTGGGCAAAACATCTGCTTTTCCTAGTGTAGGTAAGAGCTTTGAGATAACATCTCTTTCGTTGATATTCGAATTGATAATTAGAGATTAATTAATTGATTGTCTTTTAATAGCATCTGCCACAGCATCAGCTACTGTTCACGTGAATGTAATTACTTGCCAAGTTCACGACGAACCGAACCACTTGAAGGAATCTGATAACACCGAAGTGACTGCTACAGCCAATGCTTCAGTGAAAACCCAAACACAAGTGGCACAGAAAACACAGACAACACAACAGAAAACAAGTCAAGACGATCCTATCTTACGAGTGGCCTCCCCTAAGGTTACCAAAAATAGGACTCCGACTTCTAACGCTATAGAAGTTTTTAATTCGCAAGACAAAAGCTCTCCTAAAGAAGCTGCCAAGAATAGACCACCAACCCCCAACACGTTGGAAATTTGCAATCCGCTGAACAGAAGCTCTTCCAAGAGAAGCAGTTTGCACGCTTTGGACGTATCTACGTTAAAGCCACAGGATCTTGATTCGTCAAACAACAAGTGCACAGAGCTGGAACCCCCAACGCTTGGGGCTACGTACAGAAAGAGGAGCGAATCATTTGAAGACGAGAACAACTTCTCACTTAAGGTGATAGGAAGAACTAAAACTGATCTAACTTTATTATACTGGAGAGCTCCAGCGGGGGTCATTGGTTCAGTGTTACCACAGGTGGAAACCTAAACTAAACTAACTTTATTTATACTGGATAGCTCTATCAGTTCTAAACTGTTCTCCCTAGAGATCCAGTAAAGATCATCTCTTATTGATCCAGTGTTACTACAGGATGAAACCTAAACTAAATTAACTTCATTTATGCTGAATAGCTCTATCAATTCTGAACTGTTCTCCCTAGAGGTCCAGTAAGAATCATCTCTTATTGATTCAGTGGTACTGCAGGAGGAAACCTAAACTAAACTAACTTTATTTATACAAGATAGCTCTATCTATTCTGAACTGTTCTCCCTGGAGGTCCAGTAAGAATCATCTCTTATTGATTCAGTGGTACTACAGGAGGAAACCTAAACTAAACTAACTTTATTTATACAGGATAGCTCTATTAATTCTGAACTGTTCTCCCTAGAGGTCCAGTAAGAATCATCTCTTATTGATCCAGTGTTACTACAGGAGGAAACCTAAACTAAACTAACTTTATTTATACAGGATAGCTCTATCAGTTCTAAACTGTTCTCCCTAGAGGAAAATCGGAGAAAACCCGAAAGGTTTGGTGTGGTTGAGTCAAAATGGAAGCCCTCTTTTCACATGTGATTGAAGTGAAATTATAATCAGACAACTGCATATATTGCAGGGATCTAACCGCAGCGCAGAAATGAAAGACACATTCACCAACCAATGTTTCACCAGTGCCACGTACTGTTGCATAAAATGCCTCGTTTTGAATTTTGAAGGTATCAAGCCAACGACGTGGAACCGAGGGCAGCCTGGATGATAGATTTGGGAGTATGTTTGACATACAGAGACATGGCTTGTACTATGTATCGCAAGAGCGTACAGCCTGGCAAAGATTTCGTGAGATCTGCGCAAGGCTCGCTAATAATGCGACATTCATTAATTTCATTATGGTCGTCATCCTTATTAACACTGTTACTATGGCGACCGAGCACTACCAACAGGTGAGATGAATGATGGGATATTTACTCGACCTCTACAGGCGAGAAGGTTTGGGTATGGGGTTGGCCGTTTGCCTTGGTGATCGGACATTTACAATTTTGTTGAAAATGTTCGAAACATCTGCTATAAAATAATGTTAAACTAAACAAAACTGACATTATTTTTACACTGGATAGTTCTAAACTGTCCTCCCTATTGGTCCAGTAAGGGTCATCCCTGAATGGTCTGCAGTTATAAAAACTAACTTTATTTATACTGGATAGCTCTATCAGCTCTAAACTGTTCCCCCTAGAAGTCCAGTAAGGATCATCTTTTATTCATTCAGTGTTACTACAGGAGGAAACCTAAACTAAACTAACTTTATTTACACTGGATAGCTCTATCAGTTCTGAACTGTTCTTCTAGTAAGGGCCATCCCTTATTTCTATCCCAATGTTCTACAAAAGATGAATAAAAAAGTTTAATGTTCAATTTCTTTCTCTTTTGTATATGTGCAGCCTCAGTCACTGAACGAGTTTCTTGAAATATCTAACCTCATATTCATCACAGTATTCTCTCTCGAGATGATCATCAAAATCGCGGGTGAGGGAATCCGTGCCCATATGAGCCAATGGTTTAATATCTTTGATGGCTTTATCGTCATTATTAGGTAGGAACAATTTCATTTTTTAATGTTTCTGACATTTATACTTCAATGGTCTATCAGTTATGTCTCTCCACAGAGATCCAGAAAAGGCTATTCCTTATATGTGGGGAAACAGGAATAACTTGTAAAAACGCTGTGTAGTAGAAGCACTCTACTTCGTGCAATTGATGTGAAAGTATAATCACAGAAGTTCTGTTTACGTTTTTGAAGCTCACGCATCAGTTCTGTATGTAATATGTTAAACCAGCTCACATAAAAAGGAGCCTGTTGATTGCCTTTCACCTAGGTTTACAAAGTTATTTGATTGTTCTTCTCTAGCATTATTGAAGTGATAATACTCCAAGGCAGCGGTGGCCTCTCGGTTCTACGTAGCATACGACTACTGCGCATATTCCGTCTTATTCGACCAATCAGACACCAGCTTATTGTGATGGTGCATACAATGACCAGTGTCGTCACATTCACTGCGCTGTTATTCCTGTTCATGTTCACTTTCGCTGTCCTTGGGATGAATTTATTTGGTGGAAAGTTAATCCTGCCCGGCTCCAACTGTACCATGGAGACAGAACGGAGTAATTTTGATACATTTCCTGCTGCTATGATTACCATATTTCAGGTGAGGACAATTAGCTACCACTTGTTAGATCTGAGCATCCAGCGTACAGTATGCAGTATTCTACAATAAGCTGTTGTGGTTTGTGTCTGAACTACCTGAAAAAGATATCTCAAACGTGGTGGTCCAGTGCAGGTAGTATTCTACAATAAGCTGCCGTGGTTTGTGTCTGAACTACCTGAAAAAGATGTCTCAAACGTGGTAGGCTTATGTAGGTAGTATTCTACAATAAGCTGGCGTAGTTTGTGTCTGAACTACCTGGAAAAGATGTCTCAAACGTGGTGGTTCAGTGTAGATAGTACTCTACAATAAGCTGTCGTGGTTTGTGTGTCTGAACTACCTGGAAAAGATCTCAGATTGCTTGGATTAAGACCATAATTAAACAATGAACTGTTACTTTAAGGTAGTAATTAATTTATTCATCTTTTCAGCTTCTCACCTTGGAGGACTGGAACCTAGTTATGCAGAGTGCCATGAGGTCCACCAATCATTGGGCTGCAATATATTTCATAATCTTGACCATTATTGGATATTACGTATTGATTAATCTTCTGGTCGCCATCTTGGTAGAGGGCTTTACCAACCCTTTGGTAAGGAAGTAACATTTGGAACTTTCATCAGTTATCAACTGTTCTCCCTAGAGGACCAGCAAGTGCCATCCATCCCTTATTAGTCCAGTGTTATTACAGAAGAAAACCGAAGTAGTCTGAGAAATATGCGGTGTTTGGTAGAGTCAAATGGGAACTACTTTTCCCACATGCTTAAAAGTTCTTAAAACAGAAATTTTGTTGAATTGATTTTGTTCATATCTTACAACTGTTCGAAATTCATTAAAGTTGCCATTTGAACAGTATAACATCGCTTTTTACTGATTTCTTAACACAATGGCTGAACCCTTTAGTCCTTGAATTTTCTGTTACATTACTTTCACGTCGTTGAAAATTCTTTGAATTCTACGACAAGACTGAACTCAATGACGTACTGAATTACAGATAGGCCATAGATGACACCGATTTTTCCAATGTTAATATTTTCTCCTTATACAGCTTTTTGAACGCAGTCAGTCCGAAAATCACGAGGAAAAAGAAGATATTAAACCCAAACCTACCACAGACTGGCTTGCTTTAATAAAACAGGCCAAAGAACAGCCTACGATCTCCGAACCGTCACCAGAAAAAGACGACTTTAGTGACCTATCAGACATTGATAATGAAAGTCCACAGACTAATGACACTTTTACAAAAAGTACGTTGAAAACTTCCTCAAATTATTGCAGATCAGCTATACGCGGTGTTATGGAGAAGCCTTACAAAATGGATCTAGAAACTGTTGAGAAAGGTTGTAACAAATCTTACAATTTTAACCCATTCCACACAACACCTAAAGACAAGTTGCAAAGTTCTTCAAAAAGTGCTAGAAATTTCAACAATAAAGCATTTAGCTCAACACCCAAACACGAGATGCAAAGTGCTTCAGAGTTGAAGTCAATGAGACCTTCAATAAGTACGAATCCATCAAAGTCAAAGAGCAGTTGTTCTTTTCTTCGGCAAATGAGAAGGGATCATCGTTCGTCTCGGAATAACAAAGGATTTTCTGATGAGGATAAGAAATCTCCTGCTAAAGCCAACCCTAGGATTGTCATTACTAATGAAGATGGCGATGTGAAGAAAAATTATGAAAAATCAGGCACTGCAAATGTAAATATGGAGGTAGTATATAGTAGGAAATATAAAACATCTGTATACAGTAATGGTGGTGAGGGGATGGTGATGAAGAGGGTAATGGTGGTTACTGGTGATGATGGTGGCAGCGTTGGTGATGGTGGTGATGATAACGATGGTGCTCATGATAATGATGTTGGTGATGGTGATGATGATGGTGATGGTGATGATGATGGTGGAGTGACGTGGGTAATGGTGGTGGTGATGATTGTGATGGTGATGCTGTTGATGAAGGTAGTGGTGGTTAGTGGTCATAATAATGATGGTGCTCATGATAATGATGATGGTGATGATAATGGTGGTGATGATGATGGTGGAGTGACGTGGGTAATAGTGGTGGTGATGGTCGTGATGGTGATACTGTTGATGAAAGTAGTGGTGGTTAGTGGTCAAAATAATGATGGTGCTCATGATGATGGTGGTGAAACTCTGTCTTTAATATTTAGTTTTTTTCATTTCTTTAGAAACCCTTCGTTCACCATTCGTCCAAATCACTTTTTATATTTTCTGAAGAAAACAGGTAGAATTTTGTAAACTGTTAAAGAGGACTCATAATACTTATTAACATTTTCTTAAATTAATTTTTTGATTGATTCTGTAGATTCCGTCGTTTGGTGATAAAAATCACGGGCAGTAAATTATTTGATAATTTTGTGTTGTTCCTCATCGTCCTTAGTTGTGGCTTCATGGTTTTTGATAATCCTTCTCATGTGAAACAGGTCTCACGTTTTAATGAATGCTCGACGTTTTAAATTTTGTGTGAGTGTATTCTTGCATTGCCAAATGAAATCACATTCCTGACTTGTACTATATATTCTTTAAATAGAATACTGATGTGATATATACAGCCAACCTGGTTTTTACAATTCTTTTCACTATCGAGGTCGTTATCAAGGTAAGGTCTCTTCCACTCATTGAAAAAATCAACTCGTAAGTTCGTTGCGAGTGCTTGCATCTCATTAAAATGTTTATTTAATGATGGTTCTGTAAATTAATTTTAAAGAACGTCAAAATATATTTATCACCCAACCTCTTAAGAGCCCCCCCCCCCCCTTCTATCCCCCTTTTAATAAGCCTCCAGTCCAGAACCATTGGACTAAATAAGCACCCAGGAACCGGTTGTTCGAAAACGGATTAGCTTAACCCTAGGTTAACCTAGAATTGAAAGCAAACTTTCCAACAGCTTGAATATAAACTGGGAAATATTTCTTCAGAAATCTTGTCCGGATCGATAGGAGTTTACTTTTCTGAAGTGTTGAATTAAACAGACGTGTAGAAGTACACAAACCAGGGTTAACGGGTTAAATTTTAACCGAGGTTTAGCGCTAACCGACCTTTGAACAACCGGCTTCACGGATGCTAAGATAGAGGAAATATAGTAGGTAGGTCTAACCAATGAGAGAATTAACGAGGAGGAATTTTCTTCAGGTAATAGCTCAAGGTTTGGTTCTGGGAAAAGACACATACTTGCGTTTCGGATGGAATATCTTAGATTTCATTATAGTCCTTGTCTCATGGTTGCATGTGATTACATCATCGTTTAACTCTACTAGTCCGGGAATACTGGGCTCAGTCAAAGTACTTCGTGCTCTTAGAACGTTGCGTCCCTTGAGGTAATGGAGATGAATGTTTTGGTAGATGTATTGGTGGTTTAGTGGTTAGACTTCGATTCCTGCAATGTGCAGTTGTCTAATTATAATTTGTCATCAGTCACATGTGAGAAGATTGCTCCCAATTTGACTCTATCCAACACAATGAGTTTTCTCGAGATACTCAGAATTCATTCTGTAGTAACACTGAATCAGTGGGGGTAGACATTATATTAGACCTCAAGAGAGATAAAACTGATAGAACTATCCTGTAGAAGTAGAATTAGATTGATAGAGCGCTCCAGAGATTACTTTACTTTTAGTAGATGTATGTTTTATGGTTGATATTCAGTGCATAACTGTATGATTTTTTAGGATGATTCGTCGAGCTCCTGGATTAAAACTCGTCGTTGGAGCTTTACTGAGATCTTTAAAACCGATCGGGAACACTGTGCTTATAGCTGGAATATTCTTTGTCGTGTTTGGAATTCTAGGAGTTCAGGTTCGAGTCTTGTATTACTACAAATATAAGTTCTCAGCGAACTAGTACACATTGTTACAGAAATCTTTGAAAATTTCGCTAATTTATTGAAATGGTTCCTCCGTTTTCCAATTCTACACATATTGTTGGGAAACAAAATTTGCTTCTCAGAAAGCATACATGTTTTCACTTCCCCACTTGGAAAACGAAAGATACTCCTGATTTTTTGAGGCCACTGGTTTACCCACCTTCGTGAAACATGACGAGAAACAATATTAAGGATTGTGAATAACTGAATGCATTGTAGTTTCTATCTTAAAAGTAAAGTGAAATTTTAACTTATCAATAATGGTATAATTTTCCAGTTATTCAAAGGAAAGTTCCATCATTGTGAAGGCGATCCTGATGTGACAACAAAAAAGGAATGTCTTAAAAAATGGACAAATCGTCCTTATAACTTTGATAACTTGGCACAGGTAACCTTTTTAAACATTTAAGGCGGTTCAGAAATATCACCATTGAGAGTGCTGACATGGAGTGCTTACATGAAGTATTATATTTGCTAGGCGTTGGTGACGCTTTTTGTGCTTGCAACAAGAGATGGATGGGTGACCGTGATGCATTATGGGGTTGATGCTGTTGGGGTGGATTACCAGGTGAATACAGTCAACTTATTGAGTTCAAATTCAGATAGGTCTAATGATGAACATCCCGTGTTGGCCAATGTTCCTGAAGAAAACCTGTTTGGAAGACCTCTTCTCACATGTGACCAAAGCGAAATTATAATCTGACAACTGTATATTGCAGGAATTGAACCTCAGTCCCAGAGATGAAAAACACATGCAGCGGGGTGATACTCACTAGTCACTTTGGGTTCCATGACCAAACGCCTTTACTCATAACATCAGAAACCTTGCCTTTTACATTGTGGTGTTTTTATTTGTTTTAGCCCAAACAAAATCATAACCAATGGAGAGTGTTATACTTCATGAGTTTTCTCATGGTTGTGGGTTTCCTGGTGCTGAATATGGTTGTTGGAATTGTGGTCAGTAATTATCAACTTTGTCAAGAGAAACAGGAAAATGCTGATAGAAAATTGAAGTCACCAAAAACAGAGGACACCTTGAAAATTGTTGATAAAACACGATATGGTAAGAAGAGTCTACTGAAATGTCACAGTACAATACTAGATAGTTCTAGGAGTTCTAAACTCCATCATCCTGGGGCATCCCTTATTGCGCAAGTACTACTACAGGAGAAAACCTAAACTAAACTAACTTTATTTATACTGAATAGCTAGCTCTATCAGTTCTAAACTGTTCACCCAAGAGATCTAGTAAGGATCATCTCTTATTGATCCAGTGTTACTACAGGAGGAAACCTAAACTAACTTTATTTATACTGGATAACTGTACCAGTTCTAAACTGTTCTCCCAAGAGATCCAGTAAGGATCATCTCTTATTGCGCCAGTATTACTACAGGAGAAAACCTAAACTAAACTAACTTTATTTATACTGAATAGCTCTATCAGTTCTAAACTGTTCTTCCTAGAGGTCTAGTAAGGATCATCTCTTATTGATCCAGTGTTACTACAGCAAGGAACCTAAACTGAACTAATTTTCTTTATCCAGTTGTAGTCCAGTAAAGGCCATTGTTCACTTCTCAAGAATTACCACAGAAACCGGAGTACTTAGAGAGACCTACTATATTTGGTAGAGTCCAACTCTTCTCACAAGCGACTAAATTCAACTTATTTTTTCAACTAGATAATTTAGGTGGTCTTCATCCGACTTCATTCCGTGGCCGTTGTTTCCGTCTTTGTCACAATAAGTACTGGGACCTAGCCATTGCGTTCGTGATATGCGTCAACGTGATCCTGATGTCACTGGAACATTACAGAATGTCTGAGAATTACAAACTTCTGTTGGATGCCAATAATTACGTGTGTACAGGCATATTTATTATTGAAGCATTTGTTAAACTCACCGCGGTTGGTTGGAGGTGCTATTTTTATGACAGGTATAATGACTCGCTTTTTATTCCCAAAACTAAACTAACATTCAAAACCAACTCTTGTGCTTTCGTGGTCACCAGACTTGCCTTTCAAGCTGGGAGACCCGGGGTTAAATGCTTGGTCGGACTCTCAAGGTCTTAAACTAATTGAGGAGAAAGAGCTACCTTTACATTGACATAAGTAAATGGTTCTTCTCCGATCACCAATGAGTGGGAAACTCAATAAATGCTAAACTGTGGGAATCGAACCCGCGACTTTTGGTCAGGCATACTTTTCAGCTTGCCCGGTGTGGATGCACACTCAGAGTAGCATCACAAACATCATATTAACTGAGTACATAACATCAACACACACAAAAATCATCATATCTTAGAATACATTGATATCGAAGGAACTAGAATACATTGATATCGAAGGAACCAAAATATCACCAACTGGAACCGACTTGACCTCGTAGCTCAGTTGGTGGAGCATTGGAAATGCTAAACGTTTCGCCCTCGAAGAAGAAACTAGAGTCAAACTAGAAACAGTCTTCTCACATGTAACTGACGTGAAACTATATTTGCAGCCAACGGTGTATTGCAGAAATCTAACTCTACTATACATGTAACAATACCCGTCCAGATTTTTTCAATATGCGTAGTGAATTTTTTTACCTTCATTCCAGATGGAATATTCTTGATTTTATGATCGTTATTTTCTCCATTGCTGGTATCATTCTGGATTTGGTGCACAACGCCATGAAAGTTTCCGTGAAACCTATTGTACTGCGCAGTTTGCGTGTTCTGAGAATTATCAGAGGTACATGAAAATGTTTTTTTACTCAATTCAGTCCCGTGATTATCTTAACTACCGTTGTTCCTACAATCATAGACAAATTTACTCGGACAAACATGGCAAATAAATTATTTTTTGAAACATTTTCATATATACTTCGTAAAGTCGGTCCCCCCTCCCCTGAAACAATGTTGATGAACACTTCAGTCATTATGGCAACTATTGCAGTATCTGTAGCAACAACATTGTAACGGGGGAGCGGGGAATACGGCTGAATATGCGTATAATTATTCAGTGACCGGGAGCGGGGAATACGGCCGAATATGCGTATAATTATTCGATTCCTTTAAATTTCAGCCTTTTTTTATCAGCGTCCGCATGTTATTTGTCTAAGATTGTAGATTAACTATCAAAGTTTCTGTGATCACAGTAGGAATATTGGATCGGTAAATTCTATAAGTTTTGAAGGATTTGTAAGACATGTTTGAGGGAACTGACTTCGTGTTAAACACTAAATAAATCCTTCAGGACTTTAGTGAATTTAACTATGCAAAATTCCTACTGTAATCAGAGAAACTTTGATAGTGTAAACCCTGCTTAATGCTGGCAGTGACTAACGGTGTTTTGTATATTTCTAGTACTCAAGCTGTTCAAAGTTGCCAAAGGCGTGCGATCTTTGTTAGACACTGTTATCAAATCTCTACCTCAGGTACGCTATTTATAATCTTGAACTATCTGTGCCAGTGTTAATCTGCGCACAGACTGTCCCTCCCCCCCCCTCCCCGGTGGTGGAAGGAAAACATCCCGTGAACCAGGGGAGAGCGGGATGCAGTCTACGAGCAGACTATGCCAGTGTAGGTGCCTACGAGAGCAGACTATGCCAGGTATAGGAGCAGACTATGCCAGGTATTCTAAATATTGATAAAAACAACACTGTTTTCCTGGGACGTCCAAAGAATTTGGGACGCTATAGATCGTATGATGGAACTTGTTCTGGGCGCTTTCTGAACGCCATTGCAAGATCAAGACAGTGTTAGGTTATTTCTGATCATCCCTATAATTTGATCACTACATCTAAATCCAAAACATTGTTTCGTCCAGGTTGCTAATCTTGGTATTGTATTGTTCCTGCTTTTCTTCATTTATTCTTCACTTGGGATTCAATTATTTGGCTCCATAGGTAAGCTGTCTTTCATCTTATCTTTCCTTGAAAACTCTCGTCTAACAAAAACCATTTCTGTGTTCCAGAATGTTCCGAACGCTACGAATGCCACGGTCTTGACTCACACGCTCATTTTCGCAATTTTCCGACCGCCATGTTGACGTTGTTCCGCGTGGCCACTGGAGACAACTGGAACACCATATTTATGGTATACAACTCACTTTATTGGGAATAATTTCCCTAGTTTACATACACACGTAAAAACGCACAAGTTGTAACAAACCCTCAGTAGACTTGTAGCAATGCTGTTCCAACAGCTTGTCAACAGGATGTATTCGCACTGCTTGTTCCCAGCTTGTTGACAAGTTGTCAACGGCTTGTTGGCAACTTGCTACAAGGTTGTTGCACTCAACAGACTTGTTACAAGTTGTTCCAACAACTTGTTATCGTTCTGCAATTCAACAATTTGTCAACAAGTTGTGAGTGACAACCTTGTAGCAACTTGATAAAATAACAGCATTGTTACAACTTGTTGACAAGCTTGCTACAAGCCTGTTGCGAACACATCTTGTTGACAAGTTGTGAGATTTTTATCAGTGTACCATGTTTTAAAATAAGATTAACTTTTTAATGCTTCAGGACACATTACGTGCAGCGTGTGACTCGTCAGCATCATGCGAGAAAAACTGTTGTTTTAGTAAATACGTGGCACCTCTCTACTTCACGACATTTGTGCTCGCAACGCACTTCGTTTTGCTCAATGTCCTTGTCGCTGTCTTGATGAAAGACTTGAAAGCCTCGCGGGAAAAGTTAGCCGAAGTATTGGTGCACGAGACATTAGAAAAACGTGTCGTAAAATTAACGTTATCTGCCAGGAAATTTGTAAAGGAGAAGGCTCGTTCTAGGAGGTCGAAAACTCCTGAAGACGTTGCAGATGATCAGCGTATTGAACTGAAACAGATGCGAAGCATTTCATTAGAGCCAGATTGAAAGAATGGAATATACCATTGTAGCAATGTAGGTAATACGGCCAGTCAATATGCTGCAGCTGTGAGCCACAAATTTTGACCAGCATCTGGTATAGAACAGAGAAATCTAGCTTACTATAACCATATAGGATATTTAGTACAAAGAAGCTCACAGGAAAAACAAAGGCAGAACAAAGAGAAGACAATCAACAAAGGGAATCGAAGGTTACGGCCTGATTTGAAAAGATGGAAATAGGTCCAGAAATTATGGTGCAGTTGTATATTGTAGATTGGAAACATCAAGTTCTGACAACCACTGGCAAGGATGGAAGAAATTCCAAGGCTTTTAAAAAGAAAACTCTACATTCCGCATTCCCAAAGTTCAAAATGGTGAAAAATTGAAACACAACATCTTTTAAATAGCTTCTTTCCAGCCTAAAAATTCTGGGAAAAACAGCTCATTTTAGGGACAAATCGTCTAACGGAAACAATGTTTCAAATTCTTGGATTTGATTTGTAGTACACAATTTAATAGTAAATTTTATAATTTCCAAAATGTGAAGAAAAACTAGATATGTTTTAAAATGAATCTAAACAAAAATAAGATAAAATAATTTATTGAAATACAAGCATAATACAGCATTACGCCACTGGAATATATTTTTACTTCACAAAGTCGTGTGTATTTACTAAGACATATTTAGGGATAAATGGTTTCCCAATGACATGGATGAATTTTCTCTCGTGATATGGTCCAGTTTTTCCTAAAGCCCAAGGATATGGCTCCAATAATTCTCGTGTATATTTCACGTTTCCCTCGACCAATGCGTATAACGTGTGATCTCGTCCAACACCAACCTAGCAAGAATACATAAAGTAACATAGAAATATTAATCACATTTCTTAATCACAAAAAATCAACTCAAACGTTACTCACATTTTCTCCAGGATGAAATCGGTAGCCTCTCTGACGATATAATACTGTTCCTGGTATCACATGCTCACCTAGTAAGGAAAATATCAAAAATTTTCCAGATGTTAATAAAATATGGACAATATCACGCATGATTTGTACCCAGAATCATTGCCAGTAGATCAAGCTATTCTCTCTCAAAATCGAGAACCATCCACACTTTATCGCTCTACTGTTGCTTTTATATAAAACGGTCTCCATGATTTATTATTTCCCGCATACCTTCTCCTCGTTTTGCGCCTAAATGTTTCGCCTTTTGTCGCTTGCCTTGACGCTTCGTGCTACCACCAGATTTCTTGGACGCATTCCGCACGAAATTCAAGGAAAGCGGTGCACCTAACAGCCCTAGAAAATAACCAAGTTCTCAATAAGCATTACTATGTCAAGATCGCGGAAGTTTTGAGAATTTTCTACTAACCAGGCAGCCGTAAACAGCCATAAAAAGTTCGTTCCAAAAACACTGTTTTGGAAGCCATATTGGAAACCGCGAGCTGGAGGAGTCTGGTAAGTAGTTGTGTTTCCATCAACCGTTATTAATATACAGGTTTTCTCATTCACTTTTGGAGGGAAAAACCGGGAAAAACTGTAAAATTTTGCAAATTTTCTGTCAGTAAAACTCTTTAAAGGAGGAAAATCTCAAACCAAATTATTATTACATAAATATAATAAATAAATAAAATAAATATAATACTTTTAACTTAACCTCGGTTAAAAATTCCGGTTAAAAGTTTATAAAGAGGTTAAATGGATATGTGGGCTTCATTTGAAAATTTCTCAACATTTCATTAAAGTGGAAGTACAGTTTATTACTTTGTATTATTATTTAATCCCCAACAGGCCAACACTTTGTCTGTTTGACAATGTTGCCTTTGAAAGTTAAAGATGAAATTACTTGTGTATCTCATTGTTATGAGCATTGGAAGATATGAGTGTAATAAAATAGATGCAGAGGAAAACCTACCCACATTGTGCCACGGTAAAATATATATAAAGGGTGACTCTGTATGTCTGTCAGTCAGGCTGCAGAATATTGACGATACAGAAGTCTGACTTCTTGTCGATGTCTACAATATTGGTGTAACCATTGCAATGCTGTCGCCATGCATGTTCATAACCAGTGTGGTTAAAAGAGGCATTTGCCCCCTGAAAATATTTAAAATTGGTGGATTTTCAGGGGGGTAAATTGCCCCTCATCAGCTGACTGGCTGGGAACATGACAAGTGCATAAAAATTGCAAATCATAAAAAAATTGCAGCTGTTATGGCTGTGTCCGTCTTGTGTATAGTTTATACTCTGTAGTCAGGTGGTCTGTCGATCTATTAGGCTGATCCAACGGTTAGCCAGCCAGGCAGTCACTTGGTTGGTCAGACCGGCGGTACATCTGTTAGCCTGGTTGTCAGCCAGTCTGATCACCTGGATCATGGTATAATTATTTTTTTCTCCACTTTTAGTATGTAAGCATACAGTTGATGAATTCTTGAATGAACTTTTTGCTTCAAATTCCAAGGATATTTTAAAACTTGGACATGTTTTACAATCAGAAGAACGTCAAAAAAAGATAGTTTACGAAAAGTCGTAAGTAGTATGGCAATGCTTGTAACATGGTACAATAAACTTTGAAAACAAACACCCATGCAACTTTAACGTCCACTACTCGACATTTTAGAGAATTGCGATTGATAGAAGCACTTGAAAATACTTGCAAGAATCTTAGAAATTACAAAGTCCACAAAGACAGGCACAATCACTTAAGATATTCAAAAGGTAGTACTCATGTACATGTTATAAAGTTTGCATTTTTAAATTGAAACACAATCAGCTACCAAGTGTGTTTTTATCAAAATTTTTTGAAGCAGGAAAATTATGGAATGCTTTTTCCAGATGAGAGTGCGACATTCCAGACTTTGAATGAGCTCAGAGAACGTGGAGTGAAGGTTGATCTTGGCTTTCCAGATGAAATGTGGGATACGCCTGATGCAGAAGTTGTCAGGTTGAAAACACAGGTGCGACCCCCTTCCCCCCCAAACATAAATTTTGGGAAGTTTATGAAGGAAGTTTATGATTCTAATTAAGAGTTGTTTATATTCCATGTTTTCATAGTGTGAAAACATGGTTGAAGAATATGAAGAAGATTTAAGTGAATGGTATTATAACCACCAAGCCAACAATCTCCATGACTGGTTATGTAGGAGTCGTGTTTTAAGAGGAAAACAGAAAAATAAAGGTATTGCATGGTACAGTTTCCTATAATAACGTAACCATACAAGGTTTTGTTGGTGTCTCATTCAATTGAATAGTAGTTGAAGGGTATTAAACAGTAGAAGTCTACAAGGTCTATAGGTGAATGTATATTGGGTCTGTCTTTTAAACAGATTGTTTGCAAGATTTAAGTGGAGCCAAAGAAAATGAAAAAAAGAATAAAGTAAAGAGTAAAAGAAAAGCACATTCTGGCAAGAAGGTGACAGATAAAACTAAGGGCAGTAATGAGAATAATGACATCAGTGGAAAAAACAATGAATTCAAAAATGGAAAGAAAAACTCTAGCTTGAAAAGGAATGGAGATGAGATATCTGAACGTGGCGAGCTGTGAGAAACCACAACGGATAGAACTCAATATGATTGGCCCATTACTGCTGATTCACGTACCTGATTGGTGGAGATACAAGCGCGGGAAAATTTTTTTGGAGCAACAAAAACACTGTTCTGCTTTTTGAATACTTATCGTATTGCTTATACAGTAGCGGAATTATAAAATTATATTCTGTAGTACACAGCAAACTCGCATCAATTCGAAAAGAAAGAAAGAATATAAAAGGTACTGTGCTATGAAGTGTAAAAAAACATTTTTAACAAAACGAAATTCTAAATCACACGTAAACAAAAAAGTTGCAAAAATATGAATGTGTTGTAATTGCAATGTTGAGTAAAAAATTGCTTTCTAATTGATTAAATTTACAAATCATATTACATCAGAAGTTCAATTCATTTGTTGTTTTCACTTTTCATCGCCGATTTATACATGAACTTTGACATATGACGAAATATTTGAATAATACTTGAATAATTTATGAACTAAACGCGCCTTGTGTAACCGAAGTTCCTGTCCTAAAAAATGGCAACAGTATCGCAATCATTTTGGCTTCACTACGTGAGCTTTATGCTGTACCTTGCCGTCCTAACATGCGATTATGCGTACATAGATCTACCAACGCATCGGGTTTACTCGGGAAGGTTTAAATACCTGACGTTTTGGAGTTTTTTGATCGGCCTTTTCTACCACAACATGGCGGCCATATTTGACTTCCTTGTATACTCGCGGGAAAGAGACAGCGCTCTTTGGAAAAGCATCCGTGATTATTTCTTCACTGTCATCGTGTTTCCATTGGCTACGTTTGTCTGTACAATGTTCTGGATACTCTACACCGCAAATCCGACCTTCATGAGGACACCAGAGGAAGACAAATTATGTCCATTCTGGATGAACCATGGTTACCATACCTTACCTATAGTAACAGTTTTTATTCAGGCATATGTGATACAACACACATACCCTAGGAAGATATTTGCTTTTATCGGCCTGCTGCTAGTCAGTGGTCTTTACGTCGGCTGGTTATTCTGGATCGCATACCGTGCAAATATCTGGGTATATCCGTTTCTCTCAAAGATGTCGATATTTGGTGTTCTCCTGTTTTTGGTGGCGTCCGGGGCTTTGACTTTTGTCTTCTATTTGGTTGGTGAGAAATTTAGTGATTTTGTGTGGAGCGGTGCTAAAGCCAAGTCTGGATAATATGAAATATTAATTTGTTGTTTGCAGTAAAACTACCCTTCATTAAAACATTTTGAAATAATACCAAGACTGGACAAAGAAAAGAATGTATCGATTTAAATGGGTCCATTGGGTCATTCCAGAAAACATCCATACCTCCGCCACAGAGGAAATTGGAAGTTAACCCCCTACCCCCTTCGGATGCCCTAATACACTTACTATTATCAGAAACAATTTTTCTCCCCTTCCGGACAGCAGAAATTTCCTCTGTAGGGGGAGTGTGGATCTTTTCTGGAACGTCCCATTAGTTTTTGCTGTTGTCACTTGTCCGATCATACTCTTTCTGGATTTTTTTGATAGACCATGTGGTCTACTGAGAAACAATGTGATGGTAATTACTAGTAAACACACAGACATTGGTGAGGTCCTGTTAGGGTGAACGTGCATGTCGCTCATCTGATTTTCAAAACCCACTGCTTGAAAACATTTTTGTGTCACTTTCGGAATTGTCCCTATTTCAAGGGAATGTCGCCTGTCAATTTACCGTAACAGGGCCTCGTTGATGAAAATTGCAAAACAATATGACACTACCTGTACATGTTAGTAATTAATTTAGTATCTTAATCCTCTATTATTCTACAACAAGCTGCTTTGGTTGGTATCTTAATCTGTCTTCGTCCAAAACATCAATTTGCATTTAATCTTTTATGTTGTTCAGGCACAAAACTATGGCAGTTTATTGTATCTTGTTCAGTTTGTGTACATGGTACAAGAACAAAGGCTATATATTGTGTGGAAATATGCATTGTGAGTGCTGCTGTGGGGAGGATCAGTCCCAAAGAAAACTAGAAGAAGATAGCTGGCTGAACATGAAATAGAAATCAGAACACTTTGCTTCAGAATATTGTTTTAGTAGTAAGCTTCTACTACCAAAAATATACAAATATTTCATTAAATTTCTACAATATATTGATCATCAGTTAGTGGAAACCCACATCACCCTCACTCCTTTCTATGTAAAACATTCACCATTAATAAAGCTTCCATGTAGCTTGCCTCGTTCAGGCTGATTGTTTGGCAACCTGGAATTGTACTTGTGTTTGTATGAAATCCTTTCACGACCAGTTGCTTGTGCTTTTCTAGTCTTCACTAAATGTTGTGTTTCCACTCGACAATTCTTAACATATTCAGCAATGTTTATAGGTTTATAATCTGAACGAGACGTCGAATCCAGAGAATAGCAAGGTTGTGGTTTTTCATCTTTAGGTATTTTATCCGGCCACCAATTTGCCTGTTTATTTTTAACCACCTCTGTTGCCACACAGCAAACTGGCTCGCACAACGATCTAGAGTTCTTCCAGTTAAATGTCACAGAAGTTGGTTGGGGTTTGTTGCGTCGACCGGGAGAGGTGACTCGTAATTCTGCTGGTGGGGTGGCGTACTTTAGAAAATCTTGTTGGTATATTGACCGTGTCGAGGTTATTGCATTTTTAGAGTCTGTGCTAAATAATTTAGTCTTGCTATCACTGTAAGAAAGGTAAAACACTCAATAAGGGCATTATAATTATTGACTTGCAAACAGCTGATGTAGGTGCAGTACAAATATCAGATTGGCTATACTAAATGTTAGAGTTTAAATTTTAATCCATTAAGCTGCAATGTCAAAATGTGCCCTATTATGCTTTGTTATAAATTTTACTAGCTAGCTCTGTTGAATGCCAGGAATTTTACTCAAAGTGTTGGCCATTAGTGAGTTTAATAATCTGCATCGATTTTCTGAAGTATAACGTAAAGTATAGCTGCGAATGAATCGGAAATAGCGAAGAATTTTGCAGACGGAATTTTACAGAATCTTTGATAAAGTGATCAATGCTCATAATAAATATTTATCGCACAGCATGTCACAACATAAACAAAAGTGAACAGACGTAAACTGGTCATAATATTACAAACGAAACACACGTGCTCCCGCAGAAATACAAACTTCACTCACCTAAATACCCTTTCTACTTTCTTTTTTCTGGCAATCGGGGGCAAATATATAGACATTTTGATTTCGATGTTTTTGCTCGTTTTGTTTTTACCTTGCCCTGCGTTGCCACGCGACGCTGTTAATAACTTAATTACATTATTAATCAAATTTGATATTACTAATGGTTGACAGGCAGAGTCTGATGGAGGTTTTCGGGTTATATACAGTATTTATCGATTCTTTTATTCAGTAAAAGAAAGATTATTAAAAAATAGTAAAAATATTAATATTTTTTTGTAATTATTATTATTAAAGATTAGTAAAAGAAAGATTATTATTCGATTCTTTTATTCAGTAAAAGAAAGATTATGTTATTCTTTTATTCGATTCTTTTATTTAGACAAACACTCCCTGAAAACGAAGCTGTTTCGGTGTAAATTACAAAATGCGACATTTAGACTACCAGTGGCTGATACAGTATAACATTTTCTATTTAAAATCCAACTTGGTAAAAATATTAATACGCTTAAAATATTTGTCCATGATAGTATTACCTGTAACATTAATATTTAACACAATTATTTCCTCTTTCTAGAAACATTGCGTTTTCTACAAGTTTTGAGTGGGTTGCAAATTTGTTACAATTCATGGCCAATTGCAACATTTATACCTAAATTGCAACTCTGAATATTAATATTACAGTATTTAATAGAGTCTTTTTAGACAGCATCTCGGAATTATGTGACTAGTTTCCTGAGATAAATGTTGAATTACTTGAATAGTAAAAATAAAATGTTTTGGAGAGTTTGCATTGTTTTGTACGTGTCAAAATGCTTACAATCTCGCCCAATTTGTACGTAGTTTGTACTTCATTAGAGCCGCATCACATACTATTAAAATTATAAATGCAAGAAAGTAAGAAACTGCAGAATGAGGGGGATTCGAGTGCTGAAAAAATACAAGTGAAGTTTCGAGTGATAATTCCACGAGCGTTTTTTCTCGGCGAAAGGCGAATTATTTCGCCTTTGTCTTTTGAATTGCGACTACTTGAATAAATTATTTCTACTTGATTGCTCACAATTCAAAAGAAACAGGCGAAATATTTCGCCGAGAAAAAGCGCCCGTGGAATCAGGCCTTAAAGCCTTTTGTCGGGAAAACGTCGAAATTCCACTCGTATTCCTCAGGTAGCACTTGAATCCCTCTGAATCTGTAGCTTTTTGATGTATTGTTTCTACTTGCGCTGGTACATACCGTTCGTATTAAAATTCATGTCATTTTTCGCATGCATGGGGCATCCTGCCCTTGACATGCAAATTTTGAAACCGATATGACATGCAGTATTATTTTTAGTTTTATATTGTGCGACATGTATATTGGCATTTTTGCATGCTAGATCTTTATAATCTATTTCGCTTCGAAGATCCTCTAGCATTTATTATCTTCTTATGAGGTCATTAACTCGCGTCTTTTGTGCGGCGGTTTTTGAAGGGGGCAAATTAATCCAAGGCAAATATTTCCACACACACGCATCATGGCGGTAACGTGGTGTGCAGGGAGTGGTTTGAAAATCCGTGAAAATGGCGATCTTACGAGCTGTTTTGTCGACACTTTACTCCTAATACCAACTGCTATAGTTTTGTTTATATTGATACCAGCTTTGGTGCTCATTTTGCGTGGAAAATCGGAGGTTTTTGGGCAATCTTGTGTGAGATTCAAACATCACTCCTTGCGATGGATGCTAACTATCCTATTGTTATTATCTTATATGGCCAAGATCGGCGAAGGTTTTATGTTCCAAGAACAGATTTCAACAACACCGTTACACTTGTATCTACCCAATATGTTCTCGTTTGTATGTTTGATACTTGCAACCATCTATTATGATATTGTAGAAGTCAGTCAAATCTCTCCAGTCAAAAAGCTATCAATTCTGTTTGTGTATTGGTTGAGTAGTGTAATAGTATGGACTGTGAAGTTTGTACAGTTATACCAAGTTGAAGGACCATATGATATCCGCCTGGCTACAAACGTTTGCATCCTGGTATTTTACTCATTGTTGCTGATAGTCGAGAGACGAGTCATTTTCTCACATCTTCCTGGACGGTCACAATATTCCTCGTGGAGCCGAGCTAATGAAAGTGAAGTCGAGGGGGATGCCTGTCGAGAATTCCAAGCTGGCCACATTAAATTTGTACATGATTTTGCAAACTTTTTGTCCCGTTGTACGTTCTCGTGGATGTATGATATGTTAAAGCTTGGCAGCAGTCGACCTCTTGAACCCGAAGATCTAGGCGAGTTACCACCGGTTGACAAATCCGAGCTTAACCACAAAAAGTTTATCAAAGTTTGGGAGAAGGAAAAAGTCCGAGCTGCTCCGAAGAATACCACCCCATCTCTTTGGCGTGCTTTCTTCATCACATACAAACATATCATCCTAACGGCAGCTGCTTGCCGTTTTTTTGGAGATCTGTTAAGTTTCATTGGTCCGTTGTGTTTAAAACAAATTGTTGCTTATGTTGAGGAGACTTTGAAGTCAGACAGTGATGATTCAAAGTCTCAAACGGCAGATGATGTAACGATGTCCATGTCAGACTTTTTCGGCAATGGTTTTGTTTTGGCTGTAGTGATATTATTTGGAAATATCGGATCAACCACTTTGATACAGCAATATTTTTACATCTCACTTCGTTTTTCTATGAATTTAAGAGCATCTCTTCAGGTGAGTAAGTAAAGTTTGGCAGTTTGCCATATTGTTCTTCAAATATTTAAACTTTTAAGTGGCAATGCACCTTACTTTATTCTTTTACTTCATCTAATGCCAGATGATTTTATTCATCAAGGAGAGAGTGCTGCCTGCCACTAAATGGGTTAATTATAGTTAACTGTGTAAGTGGTTATTTTACTCTGTCTAAAAGCAGACAATTTTACTTGTCAAGGGGGGAGTGTTGTTGCTCAATGAGTTAACCGTGTCCATGGCTGAGAAAGTTAAATTAATTGTCTGGCATTGGCCAGGATAATGTTGAGTAAGCCATTTTGCAGATTATATTTTGCATAATATATGCAAAGTTTATGTTGTACTTTTTTAAGTTAAGAAGATTAAGGTAGTTGAGCTAGCTAGCAATCCAGATGTGAGCTACTTTAGCTGATTATTTTTATCTAAATTCCTAGGTAATGATCTACAACAAAGGCCTGAATCTTTCCAGTTTCACAATTTCTGGTGGTAAAATGGACTCGGGACAAATTGTAAACCATATTTCAACAGATACTCAAAACATTTCTATGTCGATGACCTTCCTACACAATTTGTGGGCAGCACCTCTCAAACTCATTGTTGCATTCGTTCTTATCATAAATGAGCTTGGTGTTGCCGCATTACTGGGTTTTGTTGTGTTGCTTGTGCTTATCCCAATAAACTATGTTTTAGCAGCGAAGATGGGACGGTTTCAAAAGATAGGCTTAGGTACAGTATTGTATAAAAATTATTGTTTCTTTTTTTTTAAATATTTCAGCCAAAGGCTTTCTCACTAGCAAACCCTAGTGGCTCTTCACCTTATTTGAGAGAAGTCTGGTAATGAGCCTAGTTTGCAAGGTGCCGTGCTGAATTTGCAAACACTGTTTGCAAATCATTGGCATCGACACTTCACCTTTTAATGGGTTAATTATGTATGTTTATGCAACTGTAGGTATAAGTGACGAGCGTCTGAAGAACACAAATGAGATGCTGCAGGGAATGAAACTTTTGAAGCTCTATGCATGGGAAGGATGGTTTTGTGAGCTGATTGAAAGAATACGTGCTCGTGAAATCTCTGTCAAAGTGAAAACTGCTCTCCTGAATGCCTTGGTGTCATTTATTACTACATGTACAACAACCATCGTGGCTCTCGTTATGTTTGTCAGTTATGTCAAAGTGTCTGGTAAAGAGCTGACTGCGTCAAAGGCGTTTGCATCATTAGCCCTGATTAATCTTATGAGGGTGTGTAAATCATTTACTTGATACCAATGAACTTGCTCGCCCATTGGGTGTAAGTTCACCCCTAAACCTCTGTGACAAGGAAAAAACATCTAACACAGACAGCTCTCTAATACAGACACCTTTTTTAATACAGACACCTTTTTTAATACAGACACCTCTCTAACACAGACCGCTCTCTAACACAGACAACTCTCTCATATGGCTGCCTCTCTAATACCGACATGTCTCTGATACAGACAACTCTCTAATATGGACACCTCTCTAATACAGATAACTTTCTGTTATGGACGCCTCTCTAACATGGACATCTCTCATATATGTCTATCTCTCTAATATGGATAATTTCCAATACAAATGCTTGAATAATTCTCATATATTTTCTTTTAAATAGACCTCTCTTTCTCATTGCTCTGTTCCTTAAATGTCCATAGTAGAAAAGCCAGACTGTTTATTTTTCTCCAACTAGGTGCCCCTCTTTCTGTTACCAATGATGGTCCGTACAGTAGTGAATGCACGCGTTAGCACCAAGCGTCTTCTTCCTTACCTCCTTGCACCTGAAATCAGTCACCTGCGAGACGAAGCTCCCGTCTGTGTCATCGAAGAAGACGAAGAAAGCCCGAGCCCAGAGGAATTCAAAATGGTGCCGCTGAAACCCACCAAGGATGACACATCACCATCACCAGGTAGCCCTACCATTGAGGTTAGCGTGAAGTTCTCTAAAGATTCAGAGAGGAAGAAAGATGATATGAAACCCAAGTCGACCACTAATGCTGATTTCTGTATTCCACCACGGATTGCAGTTGTTATCAACGATGCCAGCTTCACGTGGGACCCCGAAGCAGACCAGCCAACAATATCGAACGTAGATGTTAATGTACCCAAAGGAAAACTGACGATGATTGTGGGGCCTGTTGGAAGTGGAAAATCCTCTTTGGTAATGTATAAAGCCATCTGAATGACTTATTAGAAGTTGTTCCAACAGCTTGTGATCGTCCTGCAATTTGTCAACAAGTTGTGAGTGACTACTTTGTAGCAACTTGATAAAATGACAACATCGTTACAAGTTTGTTCCAACAGCTTGTGATCGTCCTGCAATTCAACAACTTGTCAACAAGTTGTGAGTGACTACCTTGTAGCAACTTGATAAAATGACAACATTGTTACAACTTGTTGACAAGGTATAATGTTATAATTATATTTTTCATATTTAATTCAGGTCAATGCTTTACTGGGCGAGATGACAGCGGTTGGTGGTCAAGTGTGGTGGGCTGATGACATCACAGTCGCGTACGCCGCGCAGAAAGCATGGCTGTTGAATAACACGGTAAAGAACAATATTCTCTTTGGACAGCCTTACATCCGTGAACGTTACGAAGCCATCTTGGAGGCATGTGCCTTGAAAAGTGATTTGGAAATATTACCTGCAGGTAAAGAATTGTACAGTCTGTGCCAGTTAGGTAGTCCGGGCAGGAAAAAAATTTCGTCCTGGGAGCAGAACCTGGAGTCAAAAATTTCCTGCAGACCAATGGAGGATTTTTGTGCTAAATCTGCATGTGCATAAACATATAGTGTTCTGGCTGACCATGGTTTTAAATTCAAGGAATAATGTCTGTCAACCATATGTTAATGTTGCGCCCATAGTGGGACATGCATATGGTGTTAAAGTTTCTTTCAAATTGTCGATAGCAAATCTTCATTCAAACAAATTTCCTGAAGCTGTTTAACTTTTCCTGCGAGCAGTACTCCCGTGCTCGCCTATTTTTTCCTCACCTGTAGGTAGTCAGCCGATAATGAGAAAGTTTCGGATTGATAGGGATACAACTACCTGAAAAATACAAGGAGAACTTCGACGTTTCGAGCGAAGGCCCTCGCAAGTTCTGCTCGTATTTTTCAGGTACTCTAAATCCAAGTCTAAAATAATAGTGGTTTATTTATTTATCCTTAGGAGATGAAACGGAGATTGGTGAAAAAGGGATCAACCTCAGCGGCGGTCAAAAACAACGGATTAGCGTCGCAAGAGCAGTTTATTCTGGCGCGAATTTCGTCATGTTTGATGACCCGCTCTCCGCACTCGATGCGCACGTGGGTCAACACGTGTTTGAACAGGCGATCATGAAGATGCTTGTCCAGCGGGGTCGTACAGTAGTGTTGGTGACACATCAGTTGCAGTATCTGCCCAAGGCTGATAATGTCATCGTCATGAAGGATGGCCGTGCTGTCATATGCAGTACGTTCAGAGATGTGGAGAATGCTGAGAAGTCTGATAATGCGAAATCTGATAATGTGAAGAAAGCATTGATACTCACACGCCAGCAATCTATCGAACGAGAACAGCATGTGGTAAGCACACGTAGACACAATGGGATATGGGGCTAAATACCTATCAATGCTGTTATAGTTTATCTGAAAATTAGCTTAAATCACCTAGAAACGTACCTGAAATTACTCGCTACAGCTTTTTCTACTAAAGTTTTGCAATAAACGGATTTGCAGATGTGCCCAAACCAAAACATCTTGTTAAATTTGAACCCAGGTTTAGCGCCAATCCAGCTTTGACAACTGACCCCTGGTCAACATTCTTTATACACTTTTTGTTACTTTTTGTTGGCTTCAGGAAGAAGAGGAGATTGAGGAGGTCCACGATCGACGGCACACCGTGGAGGAAGAGATCCAGGAAGCCGGGGAAGACGATGAAGAGAACGAAAAGGGAAAATTGATGACGAAAGAAGAACGAGAGAAAGGCGCTGTGGCTTTGCGTGTCTATCTTTCTTACGCTAAAGCTTGTGGTTACCTTTTTGCAGTTATAGCTTTAGTCCTGGCTGTGGCGGCACAGGGTAGGTACTGTTGTTATTACAGACCAGGCGTCGGTTGTACGAATGCAGGATAGCGCTATCCACAGGAAAAAATTACTATCCGGTGGATAGCGCCATCTGATATTCACACAACCGACCCCAGGTAGCTGGCATCTATTTCAACCAGAGCGGCCCATCTCATCGAGGTGACACTATTCGAAACCTCTCTGATGACCCTTAGACCTGACTTGTCGACCATGTTTATCATGAGCCTATGGTTCGTGTGAATTGGGCAACCTTATCTTCTGCGAAACGACGTTTTAAATAATATGTTTAAGTTCTATATAAAATTATCTCATATCCAGGTGGCATTGTCGGCGCTGACTGGTGGCTATCAATCTGGTCGTCGGATAGACCTCGTGGTAATACAAGCGCCGACCATGATGTCGACTATTATCTGGTCGGATACACATCTCTCTCTATTGCTGCCGTCGTGTTGACATTCTTCAAGTCCATATCCATAGCTATGTGTTGTCTTAGAGGGGCCAAGTTGCTGCATATACGCATGCTCAGACGTATCGTCCAAGCACCAATGAGGTTTTTTGATACAACGCCTATCGGACGTGTGTTAAACAGAATGTCTTCCGATACTGCAGCCATTGATAGCAATCTGCCAAGTAAGTTTAAACTTCACGCGCCTTTTCACACCTTCTCATTATAACTTTCCCAATATCCAGTTTAAAAATATATTTTATTTGTTCTAGTGGTGACTCAGAATTTCATTAACACGATGTTAAGTGCGGTAGCCGCTCTCGTGGTCCAGGCAGCCGTTACTCCGTATTTCCTACTTGTCGTTTTACCTTTCATTATCATTTACTATTTCGTACAACGCTTCATCAGGTACGCATTTTATTTTGTTTATTGTCTGCCGTCTAGTATATATACTTTGTGATTACCGCAAGTCGGGAATGACGGAAATTCACGAGTAGACATTCGAATATTTGATGTGTAGATATTGCTCTCATGTCCAATCTAACGACTTGCACTCGCGCTATGTCTACACACACTGACCGCGTTGCAGTGACATAGCCAGCCCGACAATTTAGTCATGTTATTTGGAGAGTTGGAGAGGCGTTTGAGGCGCACAACCCTATCGCATTCTAGCAAATGTACACATGTCGTCCCTTGACTTTTCTTATTATTTTAGACGCAGTACTCGCGAACTTCAACGTTTGGACAGCATCAGTAAATCACCGATCTACGCGCAACTGTCTGAAACCTTGGGAGGTCTCTCAACCATCCGTGCATACCGCTCACAAGAACGTTTTCAACTACAAATCATGAACGCCATTGATAAGAACAACATTGCGTTTATCTTCACTCAAATGGCAAACCGTTGGTTGGGATTGCGACTGGATTACGGTGGCGCTTTGATTGTGTTTCTAGCAGCTGTTTCCTCAGTCGCCGCTGCCCTATCTGGTACTATCAGTCCCGGGCTTGTGGGTCTGGCTCTCACATATGCACTCGCTGTGGCTCAAGTGTTTAACTGGGTAGTGCGCATGGCCACTGAGATCGAGATGAACATGAATGCGGTTGAGCGTGTCGATCATTATTCCAATATCGAGAATGAACCTTCGCAGAAAGATGCCGATGTTACACCAGGCGAGAAATGGCCGGAAAAAGGTTTGATACCTTAGATATTAAACAAAAATTTAAGGCATTCCACATACTGGATGGCTCTATCAGTCCTATATGTCCAGAGCTATGGATCCAGTGTGGTTAGCTTATTAGCCGTTGTTGTTATACAATTATCGTTCTTTCTCTCCTGTGTAGGTGAAATTGTTTTGAAAGATTTAACCCTCGCTTACGCCCACGAGTTACCTCCAGTGGTCAAAGACGTGACAGTCGACGTCAAGGCTGGTGAAAAGATTGGCGTCTGTGGTCGTACGGGCAGCGGTAAATCAACAATCACTTTAGGCCTGTTTCGAATGTTGGAGCATTTCGAAGGTCAGATTGTGATAGATGGTATAGATATATCCCAGATGTCTTTGCGACCTCTGCGTTCCCGATTGGCTATCATTCCCCAAGACCCGATCCTGTTCCAAGGCACAGTGAGGTTTAACCTGGACCCGCGTGGAGTACACGAGGATGACGCGTTGTGGCACGCACTCGAGGTTGCTCAACTGAAGAATGCCATTACGGCTTTGTCCGGAGGACTGGAGGGTGCCATTGTCGAAGGTGAAGTTTCATTTTTCTTAGGATATGATCTAATGAGCTTTAGATCAAGTATTACGCTTACCTAATTACATACTTAGCCTACACGCGTAAAAATTGAGAAAATCAACAACTTGTTCCAACTCGAACCGTCCTGACCGCGTAGCTCAGTTGGAAGAGTATTGGGCTAGTATTCCAAAGGTCGTAGGTTCGAATCCCACCGTGGCCGGGCATATTTTTCAAGCTCGCCCGGTGTGGATATGCACTCAGAGTAACATCGCAAACATATTATTCACCTGAGTACACAACACCAGCACAGAAAAATTCATATTACTAGAACACATTGGTATTGAAGGAACTAGATACTGTTCCGAAATATCACTTACTCGAACCGTCCTGACCGCGTAGCTCAGTTGGAAGAGTATTGGGCTAGTATTCCAAAGGTCGTAGGTTCGAATCCCACAGTGGCCGGGCATATTTTTCAAGCTCGCCCGGTGTGGATATGCACTCAGAGTAACATCGCAAACATATTATTCACCTGAGTACACAACACCAGCACAGAAAAATTGTTCCAGGTTGATATCGACAGGCGTGAACAAGGTTGTGCGGCCCACTATGAACAGTATTGTCAACATGTTGTTACAGCATACTGTAACAACTTGGAACAACATGGTTGACAACTTGTTCATAGCTGGCCGCACAACATTGTTCACGCCTGTCGATATCAACTTGGAACAACCTGTGCGTTTTTAGCCGTGTAGACTATTTTATTACATACTTTACCTAGACGATATTACTTTCTTAACTGTGTCCATCCTAACCCACCCGACAACTTTCCCAGTGGGAGGAACCCCGAGCACCCGGAGAAAACCCAAGACTTTCGGCAGAGCGTTGACTGACTCTTTTCACATGAGTCTGATCCTGGTGTCTGCGTTTCCGTGTTTAGGTGGAGAGAATCTAAGTGTTGGTCAGCGTCAATTGTTCTGCTTGGCCCGCGCACTCTTGGTAGAGTCCCGGGTACTAGTGATGGATGAGGCGACAGCGAACGTCGACTTAGAAACGGATAAATTGATTCAAGAGGTCGTACGAAGTGCGTTTAAACATTTCACCATCTTGACGATAGCACATCGTATTGACACAATCCTAGATTCAGATCGGATCATGGTGTTGGATCAAGGACGATTGATTGAGTGGGATTCTCCGGAGGCGTTGCTTGCGAATGAAGATAGTGTGTTTTCCTCACTGGTGAAAGCGCATAAGTAAGATTATTGTAGACATGGCACGGCGCTTTAGCCCTTTAAGGTGATGTTATACTACTTTGCTTTTCTTGCGCTTTTGCTGCGAGACAAGTTGCAAGATGTAACCACGCTTAAACTTTAAACTCACGCTTCCACAGTGAGTTCCATTTCTTTCTGGAGTAAGAACTGGCGTCGTGGAATAAATTTCAGGACAAAGGATTGACTTGCAACAAGGCACGAGTCTTGATGTATTTTACATACTTTGTTTACTTTAGTTTACTTTACCTTACATTAGTTGTGTTTTTTGTACTGAAACGTACAAGGTGTGCTATAATAGCTAGATTTTACTGTAAAATTAAGTATGGTATAATAGCTAGATTTAACTGTAAAAGTAAGTATGGTACAATAGCTAGATTTTACTGTAAAAGTAAGTATGATATAATAGCTAGATTTTACTGTAAAATTAAGTAGTTTTAAAGCTAGATTTTGCTGTAAAATTAAGTATGGTTTTATAGCTAGATTTTACTGTAAAAGTAAGTAGGATATAATAGCTAGATTTTACTCTTTTGGTGTGTTCGGAATGAAAATTACTGAAGTTGATATTGCTAATATATAAGTTGATATTAATAATATATAAGACACCGCGAGTGTCTAGGTAGTCCTTGGGGCGGACCATTTGAATAATTTATGTGTTGGGGAGATTTCAGCTTACACGAATTTTTTTCATCTGTCTGCTTGTGCTGGAATGTTTTGCGTTATTTTAAAGGCATCTTTTCCTTGCTTTCCTCTGCACGATTTTTTGTCCCCACCCACATTGCTTTTCTAATGGTCCGCCCCTTAGTCTTAATTGTAGATTTAAAAGTGTTGTGTTATCTGAGGTATATATTGCCGATACTGATTGTGTGTATTGTTTTAATTAATTATCTAAAACAAATATAATCTAAAACCATTTATTTACATTCGTATTTTGTAGAACCATAGATAACAACCAAGTTGACCAACCATTGTGTACTTTTATATCTCAATTTGTTTGCTACTGCCACAGAGGGTTCTGTTCAATAAGGATCTGTTTGCAGGCGCGATTGCCAAAACAGTTTACTTACATGAAGTTGTGTAATATCGACAACCGCTCTTTGATGTGCTGACGGCTCATAAATAAAACATTTTTTCTCAAAGAAAATATAAACAGAATGTTGTGAATTTTCGTTTTATTTTCATCAAAAATAATGGTTATCCTGCGTGCAAAATGCATTGTGGCTGGTACGTTTGTATTATTTTTATTAGTAGTGCTCAAATTTGTGAAATATTTTGACAAATTCACTTGTAAAACGAAATGTTTATGTTACTGTAGCAACAATATAGACGATGTATGATTTCGGTGTTCCTCGATTTTGTACTGTATATACTGTAAAACTATTGGAAATCAATTTATATTTACTCATGGATATGAAAATTATGCATGTATCTATTGTATAACACACCTTCCTCACAATAGGTGCACATATGTAAAACAAATTGTAAAACATTATATGTCCACAATTTCAAATAATGAATACTATACTAGAATACTAGATTTAATACTAGTCACTAGTGCAGTGTACTGTTCTTAAATAACTAAATGTTCAAATAACATTGATTCACAATGTAGGTGAAGCAAGTGTAGGAAAGAGTGCACTTGTGCAGACATTTGGCAGCGATGGATCACAATTTCCCAAAAATTATAGCATGGTGAGCTACAACTTTAGGCCACTACAAGTTAATCTTAAGTTTCTGGTCCGCCGCCCGCATCATTTCTCCGTAGAGTATTATTTCAGGACTATTTTGTTTTTTCAAGTTCTTGAAAATTTTCGCGAAGGATTTAACTTATAGAACGATAAATATTCAATTTACACTAAAAAGACCTAGCAAAATGAAGTATTGAAGGGTAAAAACCGATGCCTTATAAGTCTGCGTTCTCATTTGGCCACCATGCTGAGATTACGAGCCGTACGAGGTAAAAAAAACTATAAATAATCATTTTGATATGTAAAATCCTTTGTAATCTGTCGTGCATGTCTATTTTTAAATAATGTAAATTATGTTTATAATATTTTGATACAATTAGCATGAAAAAGACAAAAAGGACCACAAAAATGTGGGCAAATCCACAATTGTAATTATGTCCTATAGTCCTAACCACACGCCCGCCCGCGTCGTAAACGGAGGTAAGGCCGGACCAGAAACTAAAGATTAACTTGTAGTGGCCTTATTATAAAACCTGTCTTCAAATTACGTTTACACTTGTCTGCCAGGGTGCATTTTAAGTGCAATATGCCGAAGATCTTCGACGCAAGTTTGGCAAATTACAATACTATCTATAGTTAATATTGGCGTATCTTCGGTGTTACATGGAATGCACCCTGGCTTGTCTTTACCAGTGTGGCAAGTTTGTATCATCCAAATGATATATACTCATGTCATGATGTCTATATATATTTGTATTATTTTTCTCAGACTGCTGGAGTTGACTTGCATACAAAAGTTGTGAACATTCCAGAGACAAATGATAGCGTGGTAAGATTTGCAAGTCAACATTATCTAGTAACCAGTTATGTTTTCAACTGGCATGTGATTTATTATATTTGCAGTTTTTTTACCTACCGTTTTTTCAGGAATTTTATCTTTACGATTCTGCTGGACAAGAGATATTCACTGACTTGGTAGAACAATCTGTAAGTCTGTATTGGGGATAACATAGGCTACGTATGTACGTACGTATACATTGTACCAGATAGCTTTCCATAGCGACATAAAAAAACCCGCACATATCCATACCTTTTCAGAACGCTATTTTCAGAGAAATTATTGCAACAGGAAAATGTTGTTTTGCTCAGCTTCTGAAAGTTGTACATTCTGTATCGGATAGCCATAATTGCTACTTGGTATAACAATTGCATTCCATATTTCAGTAATGGCGACCTGAGAATAAGTTCACTATGTCGCCAACATCCTATGGGTTATTCAGGGGCGCACATTAGGGGGTGTGTGGGGGGGGTGTGACACCCCCCCCCCCATGTTTTGTGAAATAGATCTAAAAAGTCGGTCCCAAAACCTGAATGGGACGAAAAAGTCAGTCCGGCTAAAATCTGAAAGATATTATCATTTTGTGTCGAAAAAAGTAATAGGTGGACATTCTGGAAATGGAAGTTGCATAAACATAAGAAAGACGAATTAGACAAAGAAAAACGAATTAGACATACACAAATATATTAGAGTTCACTGACACAAACCAAGAGAGCAACTAATCAACTTCCATGTTACAACAGTTCAACCAACGTAATGCGATCCGATTACCTCAAGCCCCCGCGGTGCAGTTAATATATGTGCATTGTTAGTCTTGTCGTAAAAGCGGAAACTTTGGAAGGCAGAAGTATATCAGCGGCGTAGCCAAGATGGGGGCTCGGGGGGTTCTGCAATGGGCATAAGGACTGCCCTTGTGGAAAGCTGAAATCCGGGCAGAAATTGGGGTGGGGGTACGATGTGTGAATAATGATACCCATCTCTTCTGTTTGCCAATAAAAGTTGAAGTCTTCCCTACCTAGAATCCTAACTCCAGTAAAAAATGCTTATGGTTGCTTTGAAGCACATTTGAACTTGAATTTGCGCTCAAGGCGATACTCATGACCGACTTCTACAAAAACGAAGACATGATGCTATTTTGCTGTTGTATTTGCGTGTACAATACTATGTTTTACATAAATATTTTTTCGATCTAACAACATTAGGCGACTTAAAAATGTCTTTTTGTGGTTGTAACTTTTCTTCAAACCTCGTCCTAAACTACGTGAAATAGCGTTCTAATGAATCTAGAAATTCAAAATTTTCCTCGCGCCTACGGCGCTCGCATTCGAAATTCATAAAAATTTTGTCCCCCCCCCCTTCCAAAGGTTTAGACCACTGCAAAAGTTCGGTAAAAACTGAACGTTTATTGAAACTCTATACATAAATATTTTTTCGATCTAACAACATTAGACGACTTAAAAATGCCTTTTTGTGGTTGTAACTTTTCTTCAAACCTTGTCCTAAAATACGTGAAATAGCGTTCTAATGAATCTAGAAATTCAAAAATTTCCTCGCGCCTACGGCGCTTGTTACGGGGTGTACTCAGGAGCCTGGGACATAATTGCCCCTTAAAATGAACAAGGACACCCCGAACCACAATGTTTATGTTAGGACTTTATATTCGTAAAATAACAATATAGAACGTTTTGTTATCGTCGGGATTTATGAAATAAAAAGCTTTTACATGTTTATACTTAACATAACATGGTACCAGGAGTGAATTAAGAAGTTATTTATCGATTGGAAAGTCTATTGTGCAGCAGCAACTCCGTGAACTCGCTCAAGACGAGGCGAAAGTGTGAAACATTCGAGGAGATATTGTAAAAATATTTTAAATATGTCGGACCATGATGAACCGACAACATCGATGGCGTCTCAGCAGGTTAAAGTGATACAAATTCCGGTGAATTTGCCCATGCCACCGCAGCTGGCCATGACAGGTAATCTGGCAACGAATTGGAAAAGGTTTTATCGCGCGTGGAACAACTACGAAATAGCAGCACGTCTGCGAGATCCGAATAACCCTAGTACAAATAAAGAACTAAGAACAGCGACTCTGTTGACGTGCATTGGAGCTGATGCTCTTGATGTGTTTGACGGACTGGACTTCGCGAATGAAGACGAGTGAAAGGACATCGATGTTGTCGTAAGCAAGTTGGAAAAGTATTGTATTGGAGAGACAAATGAGACGTACGAACGGTATTGTTTTAATAAAAGAGATCAAGAGTCACACGAAACGGTTGATGCTTACTTCGCAGCTCTTCGTACGTTAGCCAAGACGTGTAACTTTGGTAATTTGAAAGACAACTTGATAAGAAATCGTATTGTCATGGGTATTAAGGACAACGCCACACGAAAGAAATTATTGCAAGTCTCAAAGCTTACTCTGCAACAAAGTATAGATATAGTTCGGTCTTGTGAAAAGACGGCGAAGCAACTCGAGTCGATGAAAGTTGAAGGTGAGCAAGTGTTGGCTGTTGGAAAAGAACAGTACAAAGAGCAAAGGAAGCGAGTCGAGAAAAGAGATGAAGAAGTGTTAATCAAGTGTAAATTTTGCAACAAATCTCATCCCAGAGATAAGTTCAAATGCCCAGCCTGGGGCAAAACATGCTCATTGTGTAAAAGAAAGAATCATTTCGCAGTCGTCTGTAATGCTCAACGAAGACCATTTAGCCAACGAAAGTCAGTATCGGGCGTCAACGATGATACAGACTCATCGGAGGGAGAATATATAGCTCTGGTGGAGACCAAAGAAGAGGTAGGTGCAGTTAACTCTGATCAATACACCTACAAACCAAGTGCCCCCTTGATGATTAACAAAAACCTAGAAAGTTTTCAACTTGACAGTGGAGCCACAGTAAATGTATTATCTAAAAGGACACTGGCAGGTTGTTTTCGAAAGCCTATTGAGAAGAAGCTGGTAAAAACAAACACAACCCTTGTAATGTACAATGGGTCCGAAGTGAAGCCTATTGGAAAGACAAGGATTCAAGTTATTAATCCTAAGAATAACAAGAAATACAGTGTAGAGTTTATGGTAGTGGAAGAGAATTGCAAGTCCATACTCGGGGCTAAAGCTAGTCAACTCATGAACTTACTTGCAGTTAACAAAGAGAACATTTTTACTACCGAGTCAAATGTCAAAGATGTACCCAAGTTTATCACCAAACAGCATCTCATTGAGGAGTATCCAGCAGTGTTCCAGGGTCAAGGAACTTTACCGGGCACATTTCATCTGGAGATTGATGAATCCATCTCCCCAGTCCAGCTCCCAACACGAAGGATTCCACTGGCTGTGAAAGATAAACTCAAAGTAGAGCTCAACCGACTAGTCGATGTGAACGTCATAGCTCCTGTAGATACACGAACGACCTGGATATCGGCTATTGTGGTTACAGTCAAGAAGAATGGTGACATCCGATTGTGTATTGACCCAAAGCCATTAAATAAGGCTCTCTAGCGTAACCAATACCCTTCACCCACCATTGACGATATCCTACCGGATTTGGCCCAGGCTCGCTGTTTCTCAGTCCTTGATGCCAAGAACGGGTTTTGGCATGTCCGTCTTGATGAGCCCAGTTCCTATGCAACAACTTTTGGCACTCCGTGGGGTCGGTACCGGTGGCTGCGCATGCCCTTTGGCATATCACCCGCACCAGAAGAGTTTCAACGTCGTGTGAATGACATCTTGCTGGGTCTCCCTGGAATCAAAGTCATTGCAGATGACATTCTTGTTTATGGAAGTGGTGCAACCGATGAAGAAGCTTATCTAGACCACGACAAGAACCTCAGGGGTTTGATGGAACGATGCAGAGAGAAGGGTCTCAAGCTGAACCCTGACAAGATCCAACTTCAACTCAAAGAGGTAAGCTACATGGGCCATCGTATTACCTCGAATGGACTAAAGATTGACCCCGAGAAAACGAAGGCCATCCGAGACATGCCAGTCCCCACAGATAAGCTGGGAGTGCAGCGATTGCTTGGCATGGTGAACTATGTCCAGAAGTTTGCCCCTAAGCTAGCTGAAATTACTACACCTTTACGTGATCTGATCAAGAAAGGAAATGAATTCATATGGGAGGAACATGTACACGGGAAAGCGTTGGATGAAATCCGGCAGATCCTTTCAGAACCACCAGTACTACGGTTCTTTGATCCCAATGTAATGCCAGTCCTGCAGTGTGATGCGTCCATGAATGGTCTTGGAGCATGCCTTTTACAAAACAATCAACCAGTGGCATATGCATCAAGGTCTCTAACACCAACTGAAGTGCAGTACGCTCAGATCGAGAAAGAGATGCTGGCCATCGTGTTTGGGATGGAAAGATTCGAAAGTTATCTGTATGGTCGAAACGTAAAAGTGGAATCAGATCACAAACCACTAGAGTCTATTTTGAAGAAAAGCCTACTAAGTGCACCGAAACGCTTACAAAGAATGATGCTACGACTCCAGAAGTTTGAGCTCGAAGTTGTGTACAAGAAGGGGCCACTTATGTTTATGGCAGATACACTAAGTCGAGCAACTCTCCACCAGCCTAATGCCGAAGGACCAGGAGAGACAGAAGAAGTAATGATTATGCATGACACAAGATCAGCAACGGAAAGAGAAGTAGAGCAAATTGATATGTTGCAGAACCTAGCGGTAGGAGAAACTACTTTAGTCCAAATTAAAGAGCACACGGAGGCAGACAACCACATGCAGGCGTTGGTTCGAATTGTGAAAGAAGGATGGCCAAGTACACTAGCTGAAGTTTCTCCGGAATTACGAGTCTATCACCCGTTTCGCGATGAGTTGACAGTACAGAATGGAGTTATTTTTAAAGGAGAGCGGTTGATTGTGCCAGAAGGATTGAGAACAGAAATGAAAGAAAAACTTCACTACAACCATGGCGGGGTACAGGCTACACTTAGAAGAGCAAGGGAAGTATTCTATTGGCCAGGGATGAACAAGGACATTGAGGATGTCATCGCGAAGTGCAATGTTTGTGCGCAGTATCGAGCAACAAACCAAAAAGAACCTCTTATGAGTTCTCCAGTCCCAACACGTCCATGGGAGTCGATCGCAACAGATCTGTTTGAGCTTCGAAACAAAGACTACCTTGTTACAGTGGATTACTACTCTAACTTTATAGAAGTAGACAGATTATACTCGAAGACAAGCACTGAAGTTATCCAAAAATTAAAGGCACACATGGCACGTTGCGGTGTACCTGAGCGGGTAGTCAGTGATAACGGGCCACAGTACAGTTCCAGCGAGTTTCAGGACTTTGCTGCGCAATATGAATTCGAACATGTAACCTCGTCGCCTCGATATCCTCAATCAAACGGGAAAGCGGAAAGTGCGGTGAAGACAGCAAAGCGAATTATGATGAAAGCGTTAGACGCGAAAGCAGATCCTTATCTGGCCATGCTCGAACACAGGAACACACCATCAGAAGGTATGAGTACCTCGCCAGCACAACGATTATTTGGAAGGAGAACAAGATCCACAATTCCAACCTCGCGTAAATTGCTTGAGCCTACCTGTATGTATTCTACAAAACAGGAGCTCCAACAGGCAAAAACTAAACAAGCTTACTATTACAACAAGGGGTCAAAGAAACTTCCAACACTCAAGGTCGGTGATGCAGTCCGTATGATGCCCGAGAAAGGAAAGAAAAGCTGGAGGAAAGGAAGGTGAAAGCGATTGTTAGTCCGAGGTCGTATATTGTTGCAACTGATGATGGAGGAAACTATAGAAGAAATCGCAGACATCTTCGAAAAACTGTGGAATGAGACGAGTTAGACGCAGACATAGAATTACCAATGGAAGAACATGATGTACCAGACCAACAGCAGCTGCCAGAATGCGAGGAACCAGTTGCTCATGAACCTGGAGAGCATGCAGCTCCCAATGGTACAAGGAGAACATCCAATAGACAAACACGTAGACCTGCATATCTCGAGGACTATGTCATTGAATCCTAATGCAAGTTTAATTAATTAAAAACACGTTTATGTTGAAATTTGAAGATGTTACGGGGTGTACTCAGGAGCCTGGGACATAATTTCCACTTAAAATGAACACGGACACCCCGAACCACAATGTTTATCTTAGGACTTGATATTCGTGAAATAACAGTATAGAACGTATTGTTATCGTCGGGATTTATGAAATAAAAAAGCTTTTAGTTGTTTATACTTAACATAACAGCACGTACATTTTTACTGAAACTATATGTCTTTTTGTGTGTTTCTTGCCAGTTTTCTCGAGTTTTCGTATTCGTGTTTTATATCTTTCAACTTTTCAATTTTTGTGATTTTTTCAGCCTCGCTTTGAAAATACACAACTGCACTGATCTCAAATTAGTTCGCATGCAACACTGGAATTCTAATGAATTTAACATTTACATCTGATAAAAAATAAACACGTTATTTACCGGCAGGGTCGGTCCGGATGAGAAAAACTGTGCCCTCGGTCTTGAAAACATCCATCGCCCTTCGGGCTCGGGCCGTTTTCAAGACCTCGGGCACAGTTTTTCTCATCCGGACCTCGCAGCCGGTAAATAACATATATATATTGCGCTCAGACGAATCCAATATGATATAATATAAATTAAAATCAGCGTTCAGGTCACGTCATTCAACTGAGACTGCTTTCTCGAAGTGACCGGTTTAGCATTTATTGACTTTCGGAGAGCATTCGGCACAACCGTCACCACGAATTTCTCCTGAAAAAGATGTCTGCCTAGCGTGCTAGTAGTTCAACTGTCTGTTGGATGAAGTCGTATTTAAGCGAGAGGAAGCAGATTATCAAGTTAGGGAATGTAATTTCTGACCAGCGAACAATAAATGGAGTACCACAAGGTTCAATCCTGGGAACAAGTTCTGTTTTTGCTATTTGTCGCAGACATGCGCTCCTTCGTGTATCTACATCAACCATGCCAATTAGGGCTCATCGTAATTAGGTTCTGTGAAGTGTGAACACGACCTATGCAGCTGTGATGACAATCCAGCCACGTCCTTTACTCGCACTTTTGTACATGTAATTGTAATAGTTAACCTATACAGTTAACCTACAATAGATAGCCTCATTAATGTGCCTATAAACCCAAAATGGGTTTTCGATGATTCGGATAGAGCGTAAAAAGTTACAATAGAAGTTCTAGATTAAATTTTGATTTAAACTTCTAGCTTCCGAGATACAATGGCTGAAACACTCAAATTTTGCACTTTTTAAAAAAAAAGTCGCGCAAGTCAAATTCACTGCAAAATCCTGGGTCGGAGAAACACGTTCTTCGCGTTCATTTGCTTTTCTATAATACAAGTAAACGCAACTTCGAGAGTTTTTGCATTAAAATGCCTAAACGGTGTGTCGTCTATGGCTGTTCCTACGTTGATGACGCAAACAAGGGTATTTCTATCTACCAAATACATTTTGGAATGATAATTCGCCCGTAGCGGTCAAGAGAAGGAAAAGATGGCTGAGCCATTGTTCGACACAGAGTCGCAGACGAGACAAATGGATCCCAACTAGCTCGTCGGTTGTGTGGTCAAAGCATTTCATTGAGGAGTGTTTTGTGTACGGTTCTGAAAATTTGGAAAAGTAAAACACTCCGAGACTAGAGTAGATGCAAATCAACTTTCTGTCAGTGCGAAATCAGAGCGCACGAGTAGATTGAAACGAAGAAAGGTACTGTAAGCTAATAATACTTTGCGTTCATTCACCCAAACTCGCATCATTAGCGCGTTTATTTAGGTAGTCAAGTTATCCCTGGCGTTCTGTGATCCCCGTACGCGATCAAATCAGATCATATCAGCGGCTCAACATTTCGCATTAATTAATGTCGATGCAATGGAAGTGTTGATAAGATATTGCACCAATTCCTTTTCTCAAGTTGATCAATTCATTTGATAGAAAATTGATCAACTTCCTGTTACTTTCAAATGAGCCATTTAGATTTCGTTTCAGAACCGATTGACCAATAGGAAACGCACAGGAAGTAAAAAGAAATTTGAATTCGTATGAATTGATCAACTTAAGAGCGAGTCTCTACAAAAATCAAACATACCGCGGCATGACAAGGCTCAAGATTTCAAATTCGCTCTACTTTTGAATTTAAGTTAACTATGACAAAGTGTGAAACGTCATATGGTTAGTTTTTAAAAATACTCTTTTGTTTATGAAAAAAAGGCAAAAAAATATTTCAGCTGTGAGGACCGATTTTCGCAATCGAAAGATGGCCGAAATTGCGTATGTTTACTTAATCCTGGTATCCAAACCCTAAATCCAAATAGCCTTATTATACTTTCTGCTAAAGGTACATCACTTCCTCGTTTATTAAAAGTGGTTTTATGATAATTGAACAACTGAACACATTTGAGCACAATAAAGAGCGACGGGTACTAATCTTTATTGTTTGTCATTGCGAATAAAAAGTGACCGATTTCTCCATTTGCCATCCTTTCAAATCTTATGAGATTTTCCACAAGCACTATTGGAAAACTGCTCTTTTCAGAAATGTATAATTTATTTTGGGCAAATAAATTCACGCGCTACGAGAAAGAGTTTACTTTGGTTCATTAAATATGCACTGTTTGGAAATTGAGCATTTGCGTAATAGACTAAATTTTGATCTCAACAAGTCTAGACAAAAGTTTCATCACAGCTTGAAAGAGCATCACACAATTAGTAATATTCCAAAATTTCGTTGCGAAATGTTGTAAAATGCGGATAACATAGCCTTGCGAAATTTGTAAATTTTCAGTCATTTTAAATTACAAGCGGGAAATTGACAGGCTGTCAATTTCCCGTTTGTAATCTAAAATGACTGAAAATTGCAAGTAGTAATATAGGTACCGTTCGGGCCTTATTTTTTGCGGCGGTGGTGTGTGGTGGTCGTGGAGTGAGGTGGTGGTGGTGGCGGAGTGTGGTGGTGGTGGGTGAGTGGGGGTGAGATTGCACTAACTAATTAACATACGTCATAATTATATACAATGACGTCACGCGGGCAGGTTTAAACAAGGACGTGCGAAACTTGCTGACTACGCATTTTTAATCTTGGTTTGCTATGAATAGCTCGAGTCCCTCACAAGGCAGAATTGTGATCGAAATTAATATATAACACAGTTATAGTCGTATCTTTGCTCGGAAGCGATAAATTTTCACGAGTATATTAAAGGATTTTTCGTATGTTCCATAGCGAGGAATCTATTCGTCACAAAAATCAAGACATATTTTAAAAAGAACTAACGTTCACAGTTATAGTCGTATCTTTGCTCGGAAGCGATAAATTTCCACGAGTATATTAAAGGATTTTTCGTATGTTCCATAGCGAGGAATCTATTCGTCACAAATTCAAGACATATTTTAAAAAGAACTAACGTTCACCGTTATAGTCGTATCTTTGCTCGGAAGCGATAAATTTCCACGAGTATATTAAAGGATTTTTCGTATGTTCCATAGCGAGGAATCTATTCGTCACAAAAATCAAGACATATTTTAAACAGAACTAAACAGTTGCTTATCCCGGGTTGTCAACGTCGTTGTTAAGGTTAATATTATTAATATATAGCAGAGTTATAGCCGTATCTTTGCTCGGTAGCGATAAATTTCCACGAGTATATTGAAGGATTTTTCATATGTTAATTCCATAGCGAGGAGTCTATTCGTTACAAAAATCAAGACATATTTTAAACAGAACTAAACAGTTGCTAATCCCGAGTTGCGAGCGTCGTTGTTAAGGTCAATATTTGCATGTTGTTCAACGTTATTTAGCAAGTCTTCTGCATACATATATACTGTTAAGATGATAAGAATATAAGTTAGAATTGGAACAGTTGTAATATATTTTGCGATAAAAACATGTACTCGTTATATACGTTGTTATGTGTTGCTAAGTCGTTAGGAGGTGTAGGTAATTAAGGGGATTACGGCAATACGAATTTGCATGACTAAGTGTATCCCAATGGATAGATGGGGATTACTTATAACGCAGGCGTATACCTTAAAATCGGGCGCGATGTTTTGTTGGCAAAAATTTACACAGGAATTTCGATTTAAGACACATTTATTTCTTTAAGTACTACAAAGTTAATAATTCTTCTCTGTATAAATATAATATTATCCACTTAAGAGTTGTGTTTCGCTTTTGTTTCTAACTTTAACCAATCCATGGAGCCATCATTCATTTCTGTATTGTCCACATTCTTTGCAGATTTTGTACTTGATTTTGTTCTTTTCCTGGAGGATTTTGGTTGAAGAATGGGTATATTTTTTATCCTGCTTTTATTCCACTTTGACTGCTTTTTATTGTTCCCATTTAATCTGTACAATTCTGCTAAAACGTTTCCTAAGTTTTAAGCTGTTGGCTTAGCACGAATAAGATAAGGTTGTCTT